ACGATCGGAGCAGGTCAAGTGGTGTTGGTAGTGATAAGGAGGGAAATGTGTTGCAGATCAGGCGAGCTCGGATGGGGTCAGATTGGCTGACAGTCGGTGACCAAAAAGACTAACCTGCAGCTTGCAGGAACTATAGGCAGCATCCTTCTCTTGTTGACAGAAGAGACTAAGAGGTAGTCTATCTGCCCGGTGGACGTGGGGGATGATGGAGGCTGTTGGAGGCTGTTGATAGACTACAGATGGGGAGAGGAATGCCGGGGATCCACCAAGGAGGGAGTGGACAAGAATAGCATCCAACAAGCTATACGATTACGCTGGTCTGTATGTTGTGGGATCCGCGGAATGGTCACGGCGGGGCCACAGGGCTGAGCACCCAAGAAGAGGGACTACTTAGTTTAGTAGGGAGAAGAAAAGGCAGAAGAGGGGATTGACAGACTATCTACTATTACTAGACTAAGACTAATCCCATCAATCAATCAGTCAATTAATCCAATGCATCCATTTTCCATTCTCGTGCTAATTTTAATTTACTGGTTTTAGATGGGGTGTCATCGCCTGCAGATTGTCACTCCTTTCTTCTTCCTCTCCTCCATCTTCTTCTTCCCGCTGTTTTCGCTGTTTTCGCTCTCCGCTTTCCCCCCTCTCTGCTTTCCTGCTTGCTTCCCTCCCCTCTTTTCTCTTCTTCTTCTTCTTCCTCTTCCTCTTCTTCCCTTTGCACCTTTTCTCTCTTTCCTCCTTCTTTCTCTATCTCCTCCCAGTCCTATCGCTAGTCGCACTTCTCCGTGACCCCATTGATCTTCACGCAAAGTGTATTCGTGGGGTGAGGCGCACGCCGAGCATCCACTTGGAACCAAAACGTCATCATCATCCACAGCCCGAACCTTGGCCGTAACTAGGCAGACGGATTTTGCGCTGGCTTTCCCTTCTAGAATCTTAATTTGATTCTATCACCATCACCCCTGTCAGCTGCAGTAGTTATAAAGTCAATGATCGCCCGACCAGCCGGCTGAATTCACTGTGCTCGAGCGACTCAACCATGACTTCTGCGGACCTCCCCTCCGTTCCCAACGGAGTCCAGTCAGCTGCTTCCCCAGCCGCCTCCAACCCCGCGCCCGGTCAGATCCTCACCGGAAAGCAAGAACATTGTCAGTTCTCCCTGATCGCATCCCTCTTAATCACTTCGAGGGACTATCTCTGACTGATGCAGATCTCAAGCGCGAACTCATTTCCCGCCAAGTCCAGAGCGAAATCTCCGAGCTGAATTCGCCAACCGCCCTCCGACGCTTCGGTGCCCCCTTCAAGTCTGAATTCGGTGAAGTCGCGCCCGTCGACTCGGAACTTCCTATCCTGCGATATATCTTTGTCCACCATGTGCGCAATTTCCCCTTTCTCGATCAAGCTCGTGAGAAGGAGTTCTGGCAGGATAAGTTACAGGTGGTGCGTGTGCCCCCGACCCGACCCGTTTTGCGCATCCCGTAAATGAGAACTAATCGCCGGCCCATAGTTCCTAGAATCATTCGCGACGAAGCATGTTTCCTCCTCCGAAGATCGTCTTGAAGAGACCAAGCGCCGGAAGTTGGCCCGAAAGTGCGAGAAACTGGTCGAGCTGATGATGGTCTCTGGTATCCCCACGGCGTCGGGCTACGAGGAGCGGATCCAGTTCTCGGAGATGGAGGTGGTAGACCGAGGAGCTAATGAAAAGGGACTGTTGGTCAATATGCCAGAGGGTCATGCCATCCATGGCTGGGACATCAACGTGGCTGCAGTACGCGTTACTTCGGTGAGGAGGACGGTGCGATACCACCAACATGCGGTAAGCGTCTATGTGGCCTGTGTAATTGGACTTCCCCACTGATGCACAATCCAGGAGTTCATCCTTCGAGTGCGCCGCGACGGGAAGCCCGATATCTTCGTGGCTCGTCGATATGGCGATTTCGCCAAATTTCACAAGCGTCTACGCACGGAATTCCCAGGGAAGCCACTCCCACCTCTGCCCCGCAAGAATAGATCCTCCACCACAACGAGCTGGTTCGGATCGGCAGACGATGAAGCATCCTCAGTGTCGTCGGTTTCAACAGTTGGGGTCGCCGTGGCCGATGACAGCACATCCTCTCGAAACTTGGCCCCCGGCAACCATCATCAGCGGTCGTTATCGCGGTCGTCCAGGCGTTCCTTGAGATCCCCCCGAGCTTCCAGTGACGGGTCGAGGGAGACGGTGCTTTACCGCGAAGAGCAGAGAGTTTCTCTTCGGGCCTTCCTTCGCACCTTGCTACAAAACAAGCGAGTGGCCGAGACGAAGGCCATGGAAGAGTTCCTTACCGCGGATCCCATCATTCTGAATGAAGAGGAGGTGCTGGACATGCAGAAGCGAAAAGATGTTGATTCAGTGCGGATAGAAGAGCAGAAGCGGTTTTACGAAATCGCCAGGGCGCGCGCAGCCGAGTTGGACGTCTACATGGAGAACTTCCGCCGTGACATTGTGGAGAGCAGTAAGTCTGGGATAAGGTCTTGATTAATGGTTATTTTCGCTGACAGGAGGATCCCAACCTAGACGGCCTGACGAAACTGTTCGCTGAAATTAAAGAAAAGCCGACGGTGCAGGATCTGAGTCCCAAGTATCAGAAATTTGCAGAGTGGCTCCGGATAGAGTACGTGTCTGGTGATATTCCGTTTCGCTATTTTCAGACTGACCAGACCCAGGGTTGCTGCAACTCTTTACCACCTGTTCCTGGCCGAGGATAATTCTCCTGAGTTGTTCGCGCAAGCTAAGCGAATCCATTCGCTTGTCCCGTATTCTTTGTTGAAGAATGTCATTCGCATTGCCAACCCCGCGGCCGTCATGGCAGGAGTGCTGGACCTCTTCTTGGCCCAGCCCTTCGGCTCGCGATCGCTGCTCCAGCGAATCTTCTCTATGACCCTCAACGATGGTATCAAGTCCTTCCAGAAGTCGATCGATGCGCTGGCTGCCAAGGTGGAAGACCCCATCCTTTGCCAAAAGCTGAAAGCGTTCACCGATGCAGACGAAGAGGTTAAGAATGAGATTCGCGCTGAAGCTGCTGCTGAGGATGTTGACATAATCGTGGCTATCCTCCGTACCGAGCTTCTGCAACCCGAGTTGGCTCCAGAGCAATTCGGCAAGGTGTTTAATGGATACGTGGCTTGGAACCAAGCAGTGGACAATGTAGAGGTGGAGCTGCGCGAGGGGGCGCATTGGTTTGCGAACTTGAAGCAGCTTCTGAAACTTTACACTCGTCAAAGGGACAAGGCCATGATGTTGAGCATCGTAGAAGAGCCAACTACACTTCAGCTGTTCCGTGACCTCTTCACCATTTTCTACGAACCCCTGGTGCGCGTCTACAAGTCTGCCAACGTCTACAGCAGCATCACCGATTTCGCACATTTCGCCGACGATGCTATTGCGGTGATCGAGAAGTGCCAGCGGCAAGATGTGTCGGCGGATCCGAATCAGACGGTACAAGCCTTCATCGATCTGTGCGAGCGTCATCAAAGCAGCTTCTACAAATTCGTTCACGAAGTTCACCTGCACGACAATGGCCTGTTCACTTCTCTCATGGCATGGATCGAGGAGATTCTCGAATTCCTGCGCAAGGGGCCGCGCGGAGGCGCGCTCGATATGAACGCCTTGCTTCGGGGAGCCACGGATTTCGTGCAGATTGACAAGGATAAGGCACTCGAGGAGATCAACGCCCTGATCAAGTGGCATGAAGACCGCAAGCGGTGGCACTTGAACAAGACGCGACAGAAGATGGCAGCGGAGGGTACAGCACACGACGGATATCTGGGTAATGCGTCATTCCGAGGCAGTGACTTCGGCCTCGACGAGGTATGTTTTAATGACTATCAATGCTGCAGTTGTGTAGTTGTATGCTAACCAGTGGACACAGGCCGATCTCGAAGATCTTGCAATCTCCGACGCCGAGTCGGAAGCTTCCGAAGATCTGGACGACGAAGAGGACCTGGACCCGATCTCGGCAGAGCGCAGGCGGCGGGTTAAGCAGCAGGACCAACTCCGGCGCACGGCTGGCGAGCCAGTCAAGCCGGACATAAGCGAAATTCTCAAGTTGTCCGAGTCATTTGGCGTTATGTTGCGACAGGTACTTGCGGAATAAGTGTGGTTGCATTAAGATACCCTAGAGTCTATACATGCCTTGTATACATCGTTGATTCTGGTTGTTGGAGGTTGAGAGCTTGCATGGGATTGCTGGATGGGCTAGAGAGGGACAAGATCTGTTCGGGGCATTCAAACTGTTGTATACACCTAATACCCTTAGTCTAGAACAAACCAAGACTGCTTGGCTTTTTGGAAGCTTCTGAAACGCGGACCACTTTTCGTGGGTTACAAGTAGATCTTCCGCTGTCATGTCTCCGCGGTTGACCCACGCCATCCCCAGTTTCCATGGCGACAACCATCTTATCCCTCCATCTATCCCTCCATCTTTATTCTCGAATCCAATAAAGTCCCTCTCAGCATGTTCTAGTCATTCTTGAGCTTCTCCTCAGTTATTTTTACTGGTCTATCATGCTCTCACCCACGAAAGCCTTCGGCAGCAGCCCATCGCCTCACTCGCCTCGCACGGCGGTTCCTCTGCGGGGTCTCTTCCTCGATGGCGTTTGGCGCTGCAACTGTCCAGAGCGTCCCCCAGCCGCGAAATTCCAAACCAAGAACCACGGTGTGAACCATGGACGATGGTGTACGCGGTCCATCCCTTCTTGATCTACCAAACGTACAAGAAAAGTCAATCGCAACCTGAATCCCTAGCTAACCACTGAACCCTGCACCCCGCCCCTCACAGTCTACGTCTGCCAAAAGCCCCAAGAGAAACGCTGTCGCTTCTTCCTCTGGGCCAGCGACGCCGAAGTCCGCGAAAAGCACGCCGTCTTGACCAACTCTCGCACAGAGCCAGCGGCGGATTCCTTCTCTTCTGCTACCAGTTCTGCCACTATTGCCACCCCCACCCCCGAGACACCCACCAAGAAACCACGCCTATTCGAGACGGGCCTTCTAACCCCGCAGACTGATCGTACGGTAAGATTTGGAGATACAGGCTTGGACAATAGTGGGGCACGGGGGAAGGGAGGACAGTTGAGTGCGACCATGCCTCCGCGAAGCGCCAAGGCCCGCATGATGGCTGAAGACCTTGATGAGTTCGAATGGGATATCTCGGATGATACGGCGGTGGGGAATCTGCTTGGTTCTCAAGAACAGAGGCAGCAACAGGCTGCTTCTGCGACTGCTACTGCGCCAATGCGACAGCCGGATTTCGGTCCTCCCAAGACGCCATCCCGGGACGCAGTTGGAGCTTCTGCGCCGGAGAAGAGAAAGCTCGATGATATATCGGATGTGGGTGCGCAGGATGGTTCGAAGACAGAGGCTTTTACGCCAACTTCGTTGGCTCGATCATTTACGGATCGGGCGGTGTCTTTTTCTTCTACTGTGCCGTCGTCGTCGTTGGAGTTTTCGAAGACGCCTACGCCGGTGAGGTTTGTTGGGGCTAGTCCTGCTACGGGTGGAGAGAAGCCTTCGTCTGATCTGGCAGCGCAGGCTGTTGAGATTCTGGATAAGAATAGGGTGGTGATGCCGGAGAAAGCGAAGGGTGAGTTGATGGATCTCTTGCAGAAGTATGAGTTGAAGGTGAAAGGTATTGCCCGGGGACGGGACATTTCGAGGATTGCGTTGAAGAAGAAGGACGACCAGATTAAAGCGCTGAATGAGCGAATCTCTATGCTGGAAAGGAGGTAGATTGTGGGATGGTTGTGGTCTGATACCCTCTCAATATATGGTTTGTATTTTTTCTGTTGCATCTTTGCGTGATGAACTGATGATGATCTCCATTCTTGCTTTATTGACATTTCGGGGTCTGCTGGCGGATTTCCTAGGTAGATTATTTTGCTAGCTTTATCTAGATATCATTGACCAATTTAAATAGTTTTACTGTCTTATACTTCTACCTTTCTTTAGTCCACTAAATACACCAGTGAAATACATGTGATAGCCCATATCAATCTTATCTCCAATCACGTGCCGATAAGCCACGGAGTCACAGCCCAATTCCAAAGTCTAAAAAATGTCGCGATCCTCCCACCAAACGAACAACCAGACCCCCAACCAGTCCATGCCAGCCTCGCACTTTTAGTACGCCCACTAGGACAGCCCGTCAATCCTCCGAACCCGAATATCCAACTAAAACTACTGCCCCATGTCCATGGAAATCGACTCCGAACCCACCCAACCGCTCCGCAGCGACCTCCCCGCCATGTTCCGTCCTCCTGTGAACCGGGCCATGAGAGTCCTGGACCGGTCTTTCTTCAAGAAGACCGTACCGATCTCTGCGGCAGCGATCTTCAAGACCTCGGATATCGCAAATGTGCGGAAGGAATTGACCAAGAGTCGGGACATGCTTGTGCTGCCGAGATTGGGCTCCATAAGGGAAATTAAGATCAATGATTTGGTGCATAAATGTCTGTTGTTGAGGGAGGATATTAAGCATGATGGTATAAACCACTGCCTTCGATTTAGCAATGCTAGTGTATGGACCATGAGCTGACAGGGGCTAGATACGGCGACGTGGTCGCCAACGGTTAGTGAGCTTGTGCAGAAGGGAATGGTTGGCGTTAAGCCTTATGATTTGACGTTGGATTATGATTACTGGACTTATGGTGCGCGAGGATACTGCTTCGTTGTTTGGGAACTCAAGGCTAATTGGAGCAGCGGATATCATGTCCTGCATTCTCCCCGAGGACATGCTGGATGAGATCCCCCAGGGATTCACGCAAGTCGGTCATGTTTGTAAGTCCTCTCAATCTTTTCCCATCTCATACTCAAGCTGATGAAATAGCGCACCTTAACCTCCGCGAGCAATACCTGCCTTACAAGCACCTGCTTGCCCAGGTCCTGCTGGACAAGAACCCCAACATCAGCACCGTCATCCGCAAGACCGAGGACGTGGGCTCGCACAGCGAATTTCGCACGTTTCCCTTCGAGCTGCTCGCCGGTGAGAACAATTTGAACGTCGTCCAGCACGAGCAACACTGCGAGTTCCGCTTCGACTACTCGCGCGTGTACTGGAACAGCCGTCTCGAGACAGAGCACCGTCGTCTAGTGGACAAGTTCCGCCCAGGAGAGATGGTCTGCGACGTCATGGCGGGCGTCGGGCCTTTCGCAGTGCCTGCAGGCCGCAAGAAGATCTTCGTGTGGGCCAATGATCTCAACCCTCACGGATACGACGTGATGCTGGACGCCATCAAGCGCAACAAGGCCGACAAGTTCGTCACGCCCTTCAACAAGGACGGCCGCGAGTTCATCCGCTGGTCTGCCAAAGCCCTCCTGGATTCTCCTCACACCGTGACCATTGAGCCCAAGGTGCGCAGGAGCAAGAAGGCCGCCGCAGAGGAAAAGGGAGAAGCGCTCCCGGCCCCGGAGGTCTTCCATCGCCCCAACGTCTTCCACCACTATGTGATGAACCTCCCCGGTAACGCCATCGAATTCCTCGACGCCTTTGTCGGCGTCTACGCAGGCAAGGAGTCGCTCTTCGCCCCTCACACCTCGCAACCTCTGCCCAAGGTCCATGTATACTGCTTCTCGGGCCACTCTGCGGACGAACACGACGACCACGTCGATATCTGCCAGCGTATTTCGGAGCGCATCGGTCACACCATCACCACGGAGGATCGTGTCGGCGGCAGCGGCAACCAGGAGATCGATCTGGCTATCCACAATGTCAGATTGGTCAGCCCTAACAAGCAGATGTTCTGCGCCAGCTTCCGTCTGCCGAAGGAGGTCGCATTCCGTCAGATCTAAGCTTGCAATTTGAGGCTGTCCGTGAATTATCATATACGAAACGATCTACTCATCGCATAGCATACAGGCGTTTTGGCTATGGATATAGAAAAAGTGCCGATAAAATGTTACTTGATACCCTTCTCCTTACATTACTGTAATTAATTCTCCATTTCCTAAATCATATAGACAATTATTGTTTCCATCGACAGTCTCTATTACCCTTAAATCAATCATATCAAACAGAACTTCCCTCCCATATATATCCACCAAAGCGGTAAGGGTATCTCACCGCCCCTCCATAAAGCTAGTATCTGCCGGAACAAAACTCAACGCCTCCCCGATCCCGCAACTACCAACAACACCAACTACCAGCGACGTGATACCTCAGCTCAGCTCTCGAACCACCGATTAATTGAATTTACCACCGCATACCCCGAGCTACAAAATATATATTTGTTTTGGTGAAAATGAGCGTCCAACTCCCCCCCGCCACACACCGCAAGCGCACCCTCCCGCAAGGCGAACTCGAAGCCGCGTCGACGCTGAAGCTCGGAGCGGACCAGAACACGCATACGTTGTCGCTGTCGGAAGCAAGGCTGGTTATCAATAAGGTGTTGGAGAATAAGCGAAGGGGTGGGAAGAAGTATGAAGAGCCAGAGTGAGTACACCTATCTATCTATCTTTTTATCATTCCTGGATTGGGCTATGGTGGAGGGGGTGGTAGTGTTGGGTTGGTTACAGGAGTGGAAGAGTAGAAGCTAATATATTATAATTGTTGGTGTTTAGGAATCTTACGAAGACACTTGATTACTTAGAGGTGTTTGCCCGGTTCAAGGACGAAGAGAATATCAAGGCTGTGGAGCGGTTGTTGAATTCGCATACCGAGTTGGAGATGTTTGAGCGGTCGCAGCTTGGTATGTATATTTATTTATTCCTATGGGGATTTTCTTTGCTGGGGAAGAGTATTGTGAATGTGTCACAAGGGGACTCATGGATGAAGTGGTCAGCAGCAGCTAACAAGTAACAGGAAGTCTGTGCTGCGATAACGCCGAGGAAGCCAAATCGCTCATTCCGAGTCTGCAGCATAAGATCTCGGATGGGGATTTGCAGGAGCTGCTGGATGAGTTGACCAAGTTGCGCAATTTCACTGAGTAGCTTCATTTCTTCTTTTATTTATTTTTGTGTTCGTGTACTTTGTACCATATGGCATGGCAAGAGTGGCCTGTCTGTGAGCTTGGGTGTCTGATTTCGGGATAGCATGGAGTTTTGGAGTCATGACGCATAGTTAATTTAAACTGTCCGTGCAATAAGAACGGAAGAGGGAAAAAGAAAAGAAGAGGGTATCGTTAAAAAGAAGGAAAGATTGCATTGGCAGTTGCAGGACGATCATGTCGTCATGGGTGGTTGTTCTTTTTTTTCTCATTCCCTTTGTTTGGGACAATATACACAGTAGCTAGTCAGCAGCATCTCTACTGTGGACTTTGTTAGATAGAAGGAAGGAACATGTGAAAAGTCATCCATCACCACGCGAGTCTAGCAAATAGATAGAGTTTAGACAAGTGGATAACTTCACCAGCAACACTCAGGCCGATGACCATGCGAAAAGCGGAAGCTTGGCCTGTTTAGTATTTTCAGTGGTTGACCGGCTCATCCGTTTTATTCTATTAGTAGTTGGGATGACACGGAACAGCTTGAACTGAAAGGAAAGGAAGGATCAATCAATCAATCCATGGGCCTGTTGAGAGACTCGACCCGACTGCTGAAAAAGTCTAAAGCAGTATCGGTTGGATAATTGAAACCTCATGAGAGGTCCAAAGGATTGGACTAGATAAAACGCTCTAGTACTCCATAGTGCACGTTGACCTGCTAATACAAGTAACAGGTTGGGTTGATGGATGATGGATGAGATGATGTGATCGCTTCCCGTTCGGATTGAATAATGGGAATCCCTTTTCTCCCCGGGAAAGGCGCAGCAGGATGACCTTTACATTAAGTAATGAGAATCCATCCAACTAGTGTGAAGTGTTGGTTTTGAGCTGCACGCGAGCCTAATATGGATGGGGATTTACAAAATGATGATTTATTATAGACTAGGCTAGACTAATTACAGACTGACGCTCGGTCGGTCGCTCGGTCGGGCGTATTCTCCCCGGAGATAACATTTAATCTCGGGTTTGGTGCTTTTCTTTCTGTCTGGATCAGCTACTGCTGTAGTAGTGTTCAGTGAACGACAGCAGCACCATCTTGTAGTCATTAGACTACTTATGCTATCTACTCAGTAATTCGTATATCAGGTACTTCTGATGTCACAACCAATGTAATGGAACACGAGAAAAGAATCCATCCACCGGCGCTGTGTACTCCGTACCTGAGTCACGAAACCGTCGCGCGGCCGGGAAACCTTAGTCAACGGTTACTATGGAGTATAACTAACCAACTAACAGTAGTTACTGGCAGTGTACTCCGTACGACTACTGCAGCTCAGTCATAACCATTAGATAATGAACAAGACGGTCAGCAGAGATGCCCAAGGAAAACTACTCCCACCAATCAGTAACCCGGGGATTTTCCCGCCGACCTGCATTATTAGTATTTCATTCCTATACTAGTAAAAGACCACATGGATGGATGGGGAGGGGGGAACACTTTCATGCTTGCTGGAAAGCTGTGGGGAAAGAGCCGTCCAGCTGCAGGGCCGATCCCCGTTGCCGGTATCGCGCTATGCCGATTTCAAGTCTATTGCAGGAACTGTGATTGGTTCGTAGAGAGCGTTATCGGGATGATGTGATTGGGAGCTGTCTCTGAGTAATCCCTGCTTGGTGAGAGGGTTTGAGCATTTCCCCGGCATGATAGGTCGGGAACGACGGGCACAGATCATTGATTCAACTAGTATTGACTACTAATAGTTTAAAAAAGGAAACGGTATGTACGTATGCATAATATGTGCCAACAATGAGACCATATGGCATAAGCAGCAAGTCACTATATAACTAGTCCTTCAACTCCCCTGGAGGGTGTCAATGGGGAATACTTACTACTAATCTCTCCGGCAATTCTCTCAACCCCAAACTTTCCCGGACGAGAAGTGCAATTCTCAGTACGTAATACCAAGGCCACCTCGGCAGCCAACCGATCGGGGATCCAATCAGGCTGACGAGGCTTATCTGGACGAGGAGGTGCAAGGGCGCAGGAACTTGAGGCGAAAAGTCGCCGGGTGGCCATCCAGCATGCCTGGCCACCTTTCTGTTACGTGTGGAAAACACCCGCCAGTGTTGATCGATCGCTTCATCCGGAGATTCTCTTATTGATCCTGATGACTGTTCCCAATTTCCTGTCTGGAGGAGACGCTCTTTCTCTTTGGGTGGACTGCTTTTTGGTTTACCTCATGCCAATTCCATTACTAGTTATAATCAACTGAATGGACACTGGATGAGACGGAGACAGAGAGGGAATGGGAAGGGGAGACAACTGAACCAACTTTTGTGTCATTGTTCTATACTATATATGTTCCGGACTACCTTCCCTTCCTATACAACATCTCTATCTCTATCTATCTATCACTACTACTACTACTATTATTATTACTACTTCTTCAGTATCTAATAGGAACTGAAGAAAAAGAATATTACCACTACTACCTACACTACTACCAACTACTACGACGGAGTACTACTACTATTCTCCAGTGCAGATCCATGGCCCTGATATGATCAGTGCTCACAAGCAATCAGATCCTTCCCTGCTCTCCGTCATCATCCTATTACCGTGACCATAATTTTATCATTCCATTCTATTACCTACAGTTTTTTATCAGTTCCTTTCATTTCTGGAGTATATCTCCAACTCCCCGAATCTGGGCGGCTCCGGTTCCGCTGCTGCTTTCCACCGCAAGCTTGTACTCCCCGACATTCTCGTCCCCCCATTCGATCAATTCCCGTTTCATTCCCTCCCTTACTTACTACTTCCTATCTACTACTACTTTACTTTACTCTATCTATCAATTCATTCAATCAGTTTCAATCAATCAGCATCCATCGGTCTGCTTACGCCCACTCCGGCTGATAAGCTTCTCCCCTGCGGTTCGTACGTGGCTGGCAGGCAACCCGTCTTCTCTCTCCGTACTTGCTTTGCTCATTGGTCGGTGCGTTCGATAGACGGGATCACCGCGCGACTTTCTCTCACCACCCCGTCAACAAGACTGGGCTGCAGTCAAACCCCAGATATTTCCAATCCTAATTTGGTGAGGGGTCTGGTCTCTCTGACTCTCCCTCTTCCTCCTCCTGCCCTCCTGCCCTCCGTGCTTCCATTGCGGAGCTCGCACGGCGGAGTCTCCGACGGCCCCGGTTCATTTACGTGACAAGAATCTATCTCCATTGATTGTTTTGTCGCTATCGCCGCCCAATTTTTTGATTGTTAATTGTTTCTGTGACAATTCGTGAGATTTTGGGCCTGCGAGTCTCGCCGCCTATCTACGCATCTCCGGCTTGTCTCCCCGGTTTGCTCCTGCAGTGGCCACTCTTGAGTTGTCGTTGCTTATCGCTCCCATCCGGGTTATCTTTCGACCTGTCCATTCAAACCCCCCTCTGAATGGCTGCCGTTATCACTCTCCAGTCGTCCTCGACGACGGGGCCAACAGCCCCCTCTGCAGCTGCCTTTCAACAGTCGCCTGCCTCTGACCACCACCACCAACTCCTTCGACCCCGGGTCCAGCAGCAATCCCAACCCCAGCCATCACACGCACCTCAACCCGGTTCGATATCCACGCCACAGTCGCCGGCCTCATCCATTGGCACCCTTTCCCGTGTGACTGCGTCAGGCCGGGATGCGCCCAGTTGCGACGCCTGTGTGCGCAGAAAGAGCCGCTGTGCTATTAACGAAATGATCAATAAATGTTATTCGTGCGACTTCCACCGCCAGGACTGCACCTTCACCTTGTCCGTGACGAGTCGCCCCGGCACGGCGGATGTCCCGTCGAAAAAACGTAAATTGGACGACGCCGATGCCGAAGAAGTGGAATCTCCCAAGAGGTATGATTTCACCGGGGCGTCCTAAAGGCCGATCTCGGACGTCCCCTGCCCTGAATCTCAAATCGGAACGCTAACTTGGGTACCCGCTGCCAGGCAATCTACTACTCTTCCCCCAGCCTCCAACAAACCAGACAGCTCCTCCCGCCCTGCATTGAACAACCACCACATCCTCACGCCGGCCTTTTGGTTCCAATCCACTCAACATATCGGCCTCACCACCGAACTCGAGCCCGCCCTTCTCGAATTCTTGCCCCTGGACCAGAACAACGAAGGGTGCGTGGCCTCGTCTCGTGTGCGCAAGTTCGGTGACGACGGCACCTTCATGCGGGTGGTCAACACCCGTTCTCACGCGGACTCCCCGCAAACCGCTACGCTCGATGCCATTGAAAGCCTGGTCGCCCCTTATGGCTCCACCTTGGTGGAGAAGTTCTTCGAGCATGTCCATCCAAGCTTTCCCATCCTCATGGAGGATAGCTTCCGCCAGTCCTACCGGGCACGGACCGGGCTGACGCCGTTGCTATTGTCCGCCGTCTATGTGTTGGCGTTGAAGTTCGTTGACGTCGGCCCGGCCTCGCAGTCCGTCCGACGCCCGGATGCCGGCCGCCTGGAGAGCACTGCCCTCAAGCTGCTGACCGAGTCGCTGCCCTATGCGTCGATGTCGACGGTGCAAGCCGGCCTGCTGCTCATGCAGCGGTCCAACCTCGCCACGGCGGCCTTGAACGCACAATTGGTGACCGCCGGGTTCGAGCTGGGCCTGCACCAAGACTGCTCTAGTTGGCGGATGGAAACGTGGGAGAAGGGTCTCCGGAAACGCTTGGCATGGGCACTATATATGCAGGACAAATGGTCCGCTTTGGTGCATGGTCGTCCGTCCCATATCGTGTCGTCCAATTGGATGGTCCAGGACCTGGTGGAACAGGATTTCACCGATGCCTTCTCGGGCACATCCGCCCACGATGATGCGCCCGTCGGCCATGGGCCATTGTCCTTCTGCCACATGGTGGCTCTGACGACGATATTGTCCGATATTCTGGATCGATTCTATACTCTCCAGGCGATCGAAGAATTCAGGACGGCCGGAAACAACCGTACCCGCATGATTTTGGAGCGCGCCAAGCCGGCTCAGATCCGGCTGAAGGAGTGGTTTGGTCGCCTACCCACTCAGCTGAAGATGGACTCGGGCGGGGATATCTTCGAGACCGTCAACGAAGACAATTCACGTAATGGTGCTTTGCACCTGTCCTATTTTGCCACAGAGATCACTCTCCACCGCTGTATTGTGCGGTCCCTCTCCCAAGACACCGCCGACGCCTACCTCTCCCATATCTGTCGGTCTGCCGCCAAGACTCGTCTAATTTCCGCCATGGACTTTGTCAACCGTCTTCGTCCGATGCATCTGAGATCATTCTGGCCGGCCGCCGCGCGGACGAACTTTGCCCTCATCGGATCCTTTGGCGTCCTGCTTCGCGTCACCGCTCCCACCAAGGAAGAGTCGGAGTTCTACCGTCTTCGACTGTGCGAATACCGGTGGACGCTGAGTGTGAGCAAGAAGGACGCCGAATTCCTCGAATTCGCACTCGAGAGTCTCGACAGCGCGACCAACCTCGATCACTACGTCCCGGAGAAACCCGGTATTGACGAGCTCATGACCAGTGCCGCCAAACCCACCATTAATGCTTCCCGCTCGGGCGCGAACGCCCAGCTGGAGGACTCGATGGTCGAGCTGGAACAAACAGGCGAGAGCGGACGCGGGGGCACCTCCTCCGTTATCTCGGGTTTAGCATCTCCTGCAACCTCGATCAGTGACGACAGTGTACAAGACGCTTCCATTCCCCCGCTATAGTCTCTATACCCGCTTCCTCAAAACACCCCCAACCGATATACGGTTGACGCGACACGCGTCCTTACGTTCGACACAAACAACCATTTGATGCCCTTGATGACCACAACTACCGCCTTCGCATCTCTCATTACCGATCTGGCGCATTCTGTGATTATTTCTCCTACCTCGATGCTTTCCCCCGAGGTTTCCATTTCTTGATACCTTGATATGTTATATGTTGGCTGCACTCGCTCGGAGTTGTGCGTTGCGCTTGATGATGATCGATCACTGTTTTGACTTTCTTACGAACTAATTCCCCACCCGGCTGGATGACTGGATGAATGACTGCACTTCCGGCATGCATTGTATGTACATATGGGTTTGCTCTTGTTCTTTTATTTCTCTTTATACTCATGATGGATCCGGGACTGGATGGATAGTTATAGACTGGTTTGGCCATGGGATGGATAGATAGCGTGGATTTACTTTTTGACTGTCACGGTCATGGTCATAAAATTACATTTGATCTAATTATTCTTCCTGTGTAATTGTAATAAATTATGTTGCCTGTAAAAGAGTGAACACATGACATCTCACACTTGTATGCTAGAGAAGTAGTCACTAATAATATCAACCATCCTGCGATTCTCAACTTGCCACTAACCTCTCCTCTTAAATCTACTGATCATCTAACATACTAAATAGCATAAACCCTATAAGATACCAGCACAGCAACTGCTACCTAAACCGAACTCCCTATGGTTCAGTCTGGTTAGCCTACCACCTACCAGCCCAAACAGGCACTACTAATAAACTACAAACGGGCCACCACCCCAAATTACCACCCTTTCTACACATAAAAAGAATAAATATTCAAACAACCAAATCATTTAATAACACACCACTCACATCCATAATCCTAAATAAAGACCCTCTATCAATCAATCCTCCACTACTAACCAAGTCTGCTAGCTACAGGTCCGAACAAAACAAAACAGGATTTTCTAATAGCTAACACAGCAGATACTATGAAACACCTCGCGTCGCAGACTCCCGCCTGGTGGATGAAGCTCCGCATTCGTCCTGCGGAGTTATATTATCGAGGTACTTAATATAGGGGTTAGTTAGTTGGGGATTTCTGTGACTGCCTCGTGAGGGGAGGATATAATTTGTTAAGGATGGGGTGTGTGGCGTTGGGTAGTTGGGCTAGATAGGGGGTGGTTGGGTAAGTAGTTTGGGGAGGCCTCGATACGGGGATGTAGAATACTATCTGTGTTCTTCAGTGGGGATGACTTGTATTGGTTTAGGTTAAGTGGAGAGGGAGAGAGAGAGATCGATTCGTATGTATACCCGCTGTTTTCAAATTCTAGAATGGTTGAAATAGATTATTAACATAGCTAGCTGGATAGCCAGCGTGCAAATATTTAACATAGCTAATATCAATATCATCACTAACAAGTAATAAAACATAATCCTATTCATTATCCATCATCAAGACCCTAAGAAAAACGAAAAATCGCCTCCCCCACTGCCAAACGCAAAGTCCTCCAATATCGTAGGGTCAACTAAATTAGCTAATATCTCGGCGCGAGTATCCGGCTGCGAATCCTGATTGAATAGCGAGAAGAAGAAATCGCTATCCGTGCCGGGCGGGACCATCCCGGTGAGATTGTCCCCACGGTTTTGCACCGCTGTTGGGTCAGTAGCAGTAGCAGTAGCAGCATCTATCCCGAAATGTGTGGGCGGGGGAGCTAGCGTTGATGTATGCGCTGCTGCTGATGGAATGAGGGACCGACGCCGTGCGACACAGGCTCGCGCGACTTCGAGAACCTCGCGGATCATTTCGGCACAGCGGCGCGCGACTACGATGTTGTTCATAGATTCGAAAATGTCGAGGCTTTTTTCGACGTCGACGAGGAGGTCTTCGTCGCGGATGCTGGGGAAGCCGGAGAGGACCAGGTGTAGGAGGATCATGGCGCCGTAGAGGGCGTAGGTTGTGTTGTACCACCTGTAGGTGTTTGTTAGTTGTAGTTGTTGGGAGGGGATAATGGGGGATGTTTTACCATGTTCGAATGTAAATTCTATGTAGGAAGGATTCGTACTGCATCTGGATGCTAGTTCTTGCGGCGTCGAGGCAGGTGTGGAGGTGTTGGAACAGGTTGGAAGACTCGGTGCTGGATGCTGATGCGGCGAGGAATGGACGGTGTATTAGGATGCGGGTGTTGTAGAATCCTATACAAGATTAGTGAATAATCCCTTGGTTAAGAAAAGGGTTTATAGCGCTTACTTAACCTCAATACTAGCTTCTGTTTAAAGGCCCATTCGGTGTCGTTGAGTGAAGCCGCATCAATGTTTAAGAAATGCGGCAGTGTAGCCTTCCATGCGAGCAACTTGTGGTCGAGACTCATTGCAATTTGCGACATTTCGCTCATGGATCGCTTGGGCGAGTGGTAGAGAAGATGGGATGCTTCGGACATTATCTGCGCCAGGGCTACCATCGCGGGTATCATGGCGACATGGTCATCTTCTGCATCAGGGTCAAGTAGGTTGCCGGACGTGGCCTAGAAAAGGATTCAACATATGTACTTGATCGTCGCAGAATGGAACATACACTCACCTTGAGCGTTGGCAGCGGAACCTGATAATATTGGAGATCCTTCATGCTGTCTAGCCGCCCCGAGGAACAGCACATCTCACTGTATCAAGTCAGCGAAGCTGCATAGAATACAGTAGTAGTAAAGGATACACACATTTCGTGAGAATATATACACCTATTCATGTCAGCTGCCTGGATAAAAATGAAAGAACAATGCACTCACCACCAAGTCCTTCTGCCCTCCTTCCGCGTATCAAGGGACACAGACGACATGCCCGATGCCAGACCAATAGCAACTGCAGTCCTCACTGCCATGCCGCTGTACATGAAGCAGCTATGCGGCCGCAACGCATTTTGGCAGAAAACACTCTAGTCGTCTCAATCAGCAACAGATGTGCCAAATGGGATCAGCATTATGACCCACCAGCAGCAGAAGAGCCTGCGCACTCTCTAAGCTACAGCTCTCAAACAAGTCACCTAGCGCTTGTTTCGCTTTTCCAAAGTAATAGTCTGCAAAATCCAACGAAGAGGGCTTGCCCATGGCACCAGGTTTGCCCAGATAAGGAAGGTAATTGCAGTAGTGATCAAGCAAAGCTGTCTCATGCGGACTAGCATTTATGGCACCCAGAGCAACCACGGAGAAATAGAGTCCTGAAAACTTCGATATGCCGCGTAAGAATCCCGGCCTCCTCGGCAAGACGAAAGCTTCGTTCTCGCAACGCCGCATAAAGTTAGTCTTGCACAGCATAGGGTGAATATAATGCTTGTTACAAAAATAGCTGCTGATGAACATCTTCTCGATTTCTAGTTGTGCCTCGTCTGAAAGCCTGTCAATCACAGGCGTCATTTCATAGCGGTGATCTGCTTTTTGATAGTCAGTTTGCGGTCATTGAATGGACACGGGAGCTTTCAACTTGCCCACGAAGCTTTGAGCATTAGCTCTGGTCCCCTCGGCATTTTCTTTCCTCCCTTGTCTATCATCTTCGGCTCCGCCGCTAATCTGCGGTGGGGAGTGACTAGGATATTTCGGATTATACAGAAGGTTCACTATCGAAAGTTGCGCCTTATTCGTCTGTGAACTTTCAGACTGCTTGTCGGCTGGAGAGTTGGGTGTCAACTGGTCCGCGGCTGTTTTGTCGGATAACGAATTGACCACCGCATTAGTTCCACCGTTAGATGGGTACGACGGCTCGTTATCAGGAATTGTCAACGGTTTGTTCTCTGCTTGATTACGAGCCCGAGCATAGAGATTTCCCAGAAACGCAAGGTTCGAGGAATTGCCATAGAATTCCGTGCCATTGGTGTGAAGGTTGACACCACTCAAACCGTCTCGGGATGCTGAGTCGCACAGCTCAGGTGTGGCAGCTGTAGAAATCTCAGATAGAGGATACATTGGCAGGACTGAATACTCTTACCAACAATGCTGTCATCATCACGTTTGGGAGTGAAAACAGTAGGTGAGCTAGCATTGATATTGCCAATACTTCGCGCAACCCGGGGGGTATAGTGATCCGGAGAGTCACTCTGGTGAAGGTTATTTTGATTGTTCTGACTCACATCTGGCCATGGTGATGGCCGGGTCTTTGATCTGCTTGTATGTTAGATTCTGATGGACGGATGAGTGATAACATGGAAGAGTAAGAGGAGAATCTAGGCAACACAGCATAACGACGTACTTTTGAGCCTCTCGGATTTGCGCCTGTCTCTTTGCGGCTGTTGAGGCCTCATTCGGACCTGCAGCGCGATAGAAGCAATCAAGCGAATGGTCTAAGAATGAACTGTCAGTATGCGATTCAGTTGAAGCAGTTTTGCCTTGAGGCTGAGAGCCGGCAAGGCCGGGTTAGCATACAAGCACAATAGGAACACGGCTGAGCTTGGTCGCACTACCATGAAAAGCGCCAGGGAGTCAATGAACAATCTTGATAACTGGCCAGGCAGTTTGCAGTGAAACGCAAACGCGATGAAGCAAATGGCGGACGCACCTTGGTCTTGCGCACTCGACAAGTCTCGCAGGCACGTGAAGCACGTGGCGGGCGTCGACGAGAAGCGCGGAGTTTCGCCGTCACCGGCTGAGAGTCGCTGCCGCCGTCCATGCCTTTCTCAAGTCAATGCTTCATTTAAACGCGATCGTATGATTATTGTGGTGTTCATGCCGCTTGCTGTTGTTGTTGGTCAATCCCCCAGCTGATTAGCTTGCTCCACACTAACTTGGATTGGCACGCTAGGATTGGCTTTAAACCAAAGCCCGGCTGCGATCGCCACCAACCGATGATGCCATCCCAAATTAACCACCTTCACCCAGGAACGACTGCATCAGAGCCATCCGGGGTTTTCGCGGGGTCTGGGGTCATTCAAGACAATGCTCGACACCCGGAATTGCAGCCTTGGATGATCTGCGCCTACGGATTTACTGCTTATGAGACAGGACTACGCATTCTGGCCAATGCTTAGTGCTCCTGCTGCTAGCCCGGAATTATGATTTCAACTCGCCCACCATTAGTGGCCAACTACGAAGGTCCGTGGTAGGGCTATGATAGCATATGCAGCTGCGTTTAAACAATCTGCCTGGGTCTATAGCCCTGCTCGCGGGTCTGCAGTTCCAGTTAAATCAAGCTTACATGTCTAAACTAGGTTATTCCTAGAGACAGGACACCATCAGACGTCTTGGGACTTTTCTGTTGCAAGGCGACTGCGCACACTGAAAGTGTTCGCAGCGTCGATCTGCACCACCAATGCGCCGTAGGCCCAAACTCACATAAAAAGTAGCTCTGCTCTACTCTGAAAATCTATGAGCCTCGGAAATCTCCACTGGCTCGGCTCACGGAAAACATAGTTCTCCCCATAGAAGCCAAGTGGTTGCTAGGAGTTCAACGGAATAACGGCATTGATTCGCGATTGAAAATCAATACTCCATTACCTTTCATATCCTGTTATCCGAACATTGCACAGAGCCAGGGAGTGTGCGGAATAAGATTTCCAGGACCCCAGGCATACCAAGTAATCGGCAACCTGAGGACATGGTTCGCACGACTTCCGCCATTGTTGGTTCGTCCGACGGAAGAACCGCCACACCCATATATCCGCTCCGACGGATCTCTCTACACCAATTCCCAGCTGCGATTATCGGCCCGGACGGCCATAATGACCTCTAATACACAATAATCACATTTGCCCCGCGTTATGAAGTGCGGGGGGAGCATTTGTGGGAGCAACTCGGTGTCTGAATTGGCCATAACCGAGAATATTTGGGGGCGGGCGAAGTATAAGAGACGGGCCACCACGTCTGACTGAAACGCTCAAGCAACAGTCTCCCCAACCTATCTGGTATCTCTCATCATCAGAAACCACAATGTCTGAGCAACAATCGAACGGAACTACCCCCAAGGTCACTGGTCTTAGCGAGCGCACCCGCGCCAAATGGGCAGCCGCGTCGACGCCAGAGGAAATCGCGGCCAACCTGCCTCCCATGCTCGATTTGACCATTGAGAACATCACAGAGAATGTCATGAAGATCAATTCCATGTGCGACAACCCTCGCATGCGGTACCTTATCTTGAAGTTGATCCAGGCCGCCCATGACTACATCCGGGATGTTGGCCTTCAATTCGATGAATGGGAGCAAGCGTGGCAGTTCCTAACCAGAGTACGTATCACGCCTTCATCACCCTAAAGACAACATCTAACATGGACAATCATTAGGTCGGACAAATCTCAACCGACGTCCGTCACGAATTCGTCCTCCTCTCAGACATCCTGGGTATCTCCGCTCTCGTCGACGCCCTTTCCTACCCCGCGGTGCCTGGAGCAACCGAATCTTCAGTGCTCGGTCCCTTCCATGACGAAGAGGCTCATTCATTCGAATATGGAGAATCCATCACTGCAGAGGGAACCCCCGGAGAGCCCACAATTGTGCGGGGTTGGATCAAAGACACAGAAGGCAATGCCGTGCCCAAGGCATTGATCGACGTCTGGGAAACCGACGGCAACGGCGTGTACGACTTGGAGTACGACGGATCAGAGGACCCCAACTGCCGCGGAAAGATCTTCTCCGACGAGAGGGGCCACTATCTCTTCTCCTGCGTCAAGCCCGTCGCATACCCCATCTCCAATGACGGACCCGTCGGAGAGCTCCTGCGCAAGCTCAAGCGTCATTGGTTCCGTCCTGCTCATATGGTGAGTCGTCTTCTAACGAACCCTTTAATGACATAACATGTATAAGCTAACGACTGAATTACTAGCACTTCATGGTCGCCCACCCTGAATACACCAAGCTCATCACGGCCCTGTACTCCCGCGACAGCAACTTCGTGGAGAGCGACACCGTGTTCGGCGTCAAGAAGAGCTTGATTGTGGATTACAACTGGTGCGAGGATCTGGAGCTGGCTAAGCAGCACAATGTGGAGCCCATTGTCAAGACGATTGACGGACGCGAGTCGAAGGGATTCTGGCTCTTGGAGCGTGACTTTATCCTTGTGAAGAAGAGCCCTCCCCCGCCTCGCAAGACTGAGGATTTGGAGTAGATTGTACGGACTACCTGTTCTGGAACTATGAAGGATATGTTGTCTTTAGCATTATATAAATTATGATAGCGCAATGAATGTTTTTAAGGGTGTACTCGACGATCTGGTGTCTTTTCTTTCGTTACGCTGTGGTTGTAGGGGAATAGAGATGGCATAAATAGTATCATGACTTAATGTTATTGCTATTACTATTTTCATTCTATGCTGTGAGTTGATGAAGCTTCAATCACCATTCTCGAGCCAATGCTGGTACCACAAACTATGTTTTGTTTACTTCGTGTATAGTAACCCCGTACCTGATCTGCATATTACAAATGGTTTACGATCAAGAGGTCCTCATCCCTTCCGAAGTATTACCTCCGTGCCGATTAAGCGAAAAGCTACACCGAGTTTCAGAGTTACTCTTCCTGGAAGATGAACTGTGGGAAAACAATAAATCGCATATCCGACGGGTTTACTTTGGGGTTTATGCTGGATCCGATTGGTTGGTTCGGGGAGGAGCTTCCCCGGATTGATGTTCACCACGAAGGTTTATGCGGATTAGCCCATCATCACGAGCATCAAAGTAAGCAGGTATACGATCGAATAACTTCAAACCTTTCGAGTGTAGTATGAACTATATTACCTTATCTATGGACCAAAGAGCGTCCAAGCGTGTGAAGCTTTTTCCAGATACCACACTATCTATTATCTTATCAGTGGCTGGTTATCGGACATTTGTTGCGCTTGCGCCATCAGGATCCGGCCAAACCTACTCTTCCGAGGCACCTCCTCTTTAGTGCATAGCCGGTCAGCACGCCAAGTGTCCATATTATCCAAGAGCAATAGTCAGTCCTCAAATGAAATTGCAGACGGATGGCATCCGATTCCGACGGATGGAAGTCCGAGCTCTGCACGGACGGATAACCACGGCTCTCGGCGATGACGATTGACCTGCAGTCCGGTGGCTCCTGCTAATGAGCTGATACCCTGATATGGCGATTGCATGCTTATCGGGATGGATAGCGAATGGTGTCCTTTCAATGTAGGATATATAGTGTTGTACGTAAGGGATATAGGCTGAAGTGTGACTTGTTGAGTTTCCTTGGATACTGCTATATATCCCATGAAACCCCATTGGCACATTGCTGAACTGCTAGCGTTGGTTCTCTAGCTGTTGCTTATATATCACGGAATATATCATCGTTTATGTATCGGTTATTCTCGCGTTCTTCGTCTCGTCCCCTTCAAAAGCACATATATACACCCTCCCGACGATATAATATACGGTTATACTCCAGTATGGATTGGAGCCAAGATACCCTGCGGGCCGGGTTCTGCCATGCCCTCTCGGATATGTACAAGAGCGAAGTCCCCCTTTACGGGGACCTGGTGGACCTTGTATGGAAAGCAGATGCAGAGGCAATTAACAGAAGCCGAAAATTAGGAGGTGCAGACATCATTGATCCCGACGAGGTATTGCCCTCCAGGAACCGTGTCGAGAGACATGGTGCCATTCGTCTCGGAACCGCGCAGGAACTAGCCACGATCCGGCGTATGTTCGCTGTTATGGGCATGTATCCTGTTGGATATTATGACCTGAGTGTCGCTGGGTTCCCGATGCATGCTACCGCATTTCGTCCCAGGACCAGGGAAGCTCTGGCCAGACATCCGTTCCGAGTCTTTACGACCGTCCTGCGCATGGACTTGCTGACGGAGAGGACACGAGATCTGGCGCAGAGGGCTCTGAAGCAAAGAAACATCTTCACCGACCGCTTGGTGGCTTTGATCAACCACGCTGAGGTACAGGGCCATCTCACCCCTGATGAGTGCAAAGAGTTCATCACCGAAGGACTGGAAACCTTCAGATGGCACTCCAAGGCAACAGTGACGCTTGAAGAATACAAGATCCTCAAAGAGGAGCATCCGTTAATCGCCGACATCGTATCCTTCCCCAGCTGCCACATAAACCACCTTACTCCTCGAACCATCGATATCGACCTCGTCCAGAAGATGATGCAGGACAATGGTATGCCGGCAAAAGAACGAATCGAAGGACCCCCGCGGCGGGAGTGCCCCATCTTACTACGTCAGACTAGCTTCAAAGCCCTGGAAGAGACGGTATACTTCCGCGATGCTAATGAAGCATATGTCAAGGGATCCCATACGGCAAGATTTGGCGAAGTTGAGCAGCGCGGATACGCTCTCACGCGGAAAGGCAGGAAGCTATATGATGACATCCTCAGTCAGGTCAACAAGGAGGCGGCAGAGACAAAAGCTGACTCTGAGAAATATGAGGAGATTCTGAGGAAACGCTTCGAGGGCTTCCCAGATGACCTCCATGAATTGCAAAAGCAGAATCTCGCATACTTCTGCTACCGAACAACACCCAAGGGTAAAAAGGAACTCGGATCTGAAAAGGTTAGTCTGAGCCAGCTCTTGGAGGATCAGATTCTGGAGTTCGAACCCATCACATACGAGGACTTCCTTCCCCTGTCCGCAGGAGGGATCTTCAACTCGAACCTAGGGAATACATCGCAGTCTAAGCGGCTAATCATGGAAGCGGATGCCGATCTGGATGGATTTCAACAGATGATGGGAACTCCTACAGTCGATGAGATTAGTCTTTATGAGCAGATGCAGAAAGACAGCCTTGAAAGCTGCCGGGCGGAGTTGGGATTGAAAGAGATTGTGGAGTGAAGACCTGCTTTCAATGAATCATGTTAATACACAAGCGAATTATTTCCAAACTTATTGCAGTTTATATACCTCGATAACAGCAGCTTTTGTAGAAGCGATGTGCTGCATATCGTAGGTGATGTTTTTGGAAGACTTGGTGCTGTTGGTGTGCAAGTTCGTACCTTCCATCCCTGGACTCCAGTTCGTGTCTATTATTTTCCTCTTCACTCTCTTCCTCTTCCATACGTTCTATCTTGACATGCATTTGCTATTCATTCCAATTTTCTGTATCTTTCCTTTGCTGCTACCACGCTGCCAGCTCTGGTTCATCCTTTGATCATTCTGTCATTCAGCAAATGATGCTCTTTGTGGCCCACCACTGATTCTAACAGCAATCTAGTTCCCTCCTAGCGCAATGATGATGCAAATACTTGGGACCCTGCTGACCCTAGCAGCTCTGGCCATTGCACACGATGGGCCTGATCTCAATCTCTTTGACTATGATCAGCGTGGGCCTCTCTTGGGAACTTGGTTCGGTATACCCGGGCAAAATGCAACGTTCGACTACGTCGTTATAGGCGGAGGCACCGCCGGGTTGACTATTGCCAGTCGGCTGGTCAAGAGCGGATATCTCAGTGTGGCTGTTGTTGAGGCTGGCGGTTTCTACGAATTCGACAACGGTGACCTCTCTGTGGTCCCAGAATACGCAACCTTCTTCGCCGGGCCAGATCCCAGTGACTACCAGCCATTAATTGATTGGGGCTTTCAGACTCAACCCCAGGAGAGCTTGGGTAATCGAACCCTCCATTATGCGCGCGGGAAAACGCTAGGGGGTAGCTCAGGACGAAACTGCATGTACTACCAGCGTCCCACCATGGGCAGCTTACATACGTGGGCGAAAGAGGTGGATGACAAGAGCTATGAATTCCTCAATATGCTGCCCTACTATAAAAAGTCTGTGCATTTCACTCCCCCGGACGAGAGGCTTTTCATCAACTCGACCAACATACAAAACCCAGAAGCTTTCAGCTTGTCTGGTGGACCTTTAGAGGTCTCGTCGGGTAACTTCGTCGATGGCTTTGGAACCTGGTTCCGCAAAGCACTCATTGCTCTGGGGTTAAAACAGACTGAGTTCAATAGCGGCAGTCTGTTGGGTTCTGGCTATTCAACCCTGACTATTAATCCAATCAATGCACATCGGTCTTCATCGGAAACAAGCTTTTTGCAATGGACGCTCGGTTGTGGCCTAGGCCCTGTGATATATCATAAGACGCTTGCGCAGAAGATATTGTTTGATAATCATCGAGTCGCAACTGGCGTCCAGGTTGAAACGGCTGGGACTTTTGGCGTTGCACCGCTTAACTTTACCCTCAGTGCTCAGAAGGGGGTTATATTGTCGGCAGGAGCCATTCAGTCTCCTCATTTACTGATGGTATCAGGAATTGGTCCGCATGACCAACTTTTCCGGTTCAACATCAGCTGCGTCAGTCATCTTCCAGGCGTCGGCCATAATCTACAGGATCATGTCTCCGCCGGAACGACGCATCGTGTGGATGTTCCAACTGTAGCCACGTTAGCTGATGATGATACTCTGGTGGAGTCCAATGTCAAGCAATACATCGTGAACGCCACCGGTCCACTGTCCATCCCGGGTCCAGGTTACTTCGGGTGGGAGAAACTACCAAAACCTTTCCGTTGGCGCCTCTCCAATGAATCCATCCAAGCACTCTCCACGTTACCGGAAGACTGGCCAGAAATCGTATATACTGTCGGTTGCTCTTCCAAACCCGCTAATGCGACTGCTGGTCAAATATATGCTACCATCAACTTCGTCGGCATTGCACCTTTCTCCCGCGGTAACATATCGCTAGCAGGTCCAAATATGACAACCCCTCCCATCATTAACCCTCAATGGTTGACAAACCCCACGGACGTGGAGCTAATGGTAGGCGCGTTCAATCGGAGCCGTCAGATTTGGGCAAAATTGGCCGACCTAGGCGTCGCTGATCCGGTAGAGATTTCACCGGGAAACAATGTGACGACATATGAGCAGATACTTGACTTTATCCGCAGATCCTTGACAACGATTTCACACGCATCTTCAACATGCAAGATGGGACGGAAAGACGACCCAATGGCGGTCGTGGATAGCTCGGCGCGGGTGTACGGAGTCCAGAGATTACGGGTTGTTGATGCGAGCAGTTTTCCATTCCTACCTCCAGGGGCTCCTCAGTCAACAGTTTATGCTTTTGCAGAGAAGATCGCCGAGGAGATACTGTACGGGTTGTGACTGGCATTGCATCAAAGGCAACGACTAGAGCAGATGATGTGGCTGTTTAATGTATCATCCTTAGGATGGACGCTATATCAATAAGAACCTTCCATTGTTAGTCCTTTCTGAGTTAATCTGTGCAGTCCTAAAAATCATCGGGCCGTGACCCGCATGGGAGGTTGAAAAGCATATTAATAGATCATTGGGTTCTCCTGTTAGACGGTCAGTCACAGAGGTTGCAAAAGCACGCCCGGTTTGCTGAATGTGTAGTCACGGAAAGAGAAGGAATAACTAAACATTCGAAACCCAATTATACAATAAAATACAATTGCACTCCTCAATGTGCATAACAGAAAAGTCCTATCTGTACATGGTATACCGCTCTACGCGGTTCCAACCTATGGATATAACACAGCATAAAATCCATACCCATCTAAATATGGGCTCTAAAAATGCTCAGACGACATCTGGTCAGGTTTTGCGAGATCTTCGAGCCCCTTCCCTCGAATTCGAATTTACTCCTTCAGTTCAACATTGGCCGCGGAATCAGCACTTTGCACCACAACCGCACCCTCGTCCAACAACTCCTCCGCAGTCTTAACCTTAACATCCATAACCCGCAGGATGGTATAACGATGCTTGCTCGTAACCTTCTGCACATGACGCCGTCTCCGCTTCGTCTTCTCCGTGATGCGCAAAGGCTCCGACTCGAAACCCATCACCCGGACCCGGCACTCAAACAACCGCTCATCAAGGTACTTGTCGCCGCCCTTGAGCGAGAACTCACGAGAACCGAGCACAGACGCCCGGTTAAACCGAAGGATATCGCCCGATTTTACCTTGGGCATGAGGAATGGCAGACGCAGCTGGTCACCCTCGGTAAGCAGGTAGGGTCTGTCGTGGAGATGGGCGGTAATGTAGTGCGGCTTTTGCGAGGTGAGGTAAGGCAGCATGTCGAGGAGGGATTGAGACACTTTCAATGGAGCGTCAAAGGTCGGGGCCACGGGCTGTTTGTTGAGAGGCACATCGGCGCGGGTTTCGGGGATGGTGTTTTTGGGCGTCAGGAAGTGAGGTTGTTCGATGGGGGTGGAGGTTTGGGCCCGGGGGGTGGCGCTTAGAGGAGCGGAAGGGTGTGATGATGTTGTTGTAGAATAAGATGTAGTGGTGGCTTGGTGAAGGCAGGCACGGAAAGTAGTGGTGCTGCTGGTGCTGGCGAGGATGGAGGATCGGGCGGCGGTGTGCTCGATGGGCAGGGCAAGTGCCCGTGCGAGCGTAGTTCGAGAGAACATGTTTGTGTGTAGTAGAGACTAGGAGAGGGAGGGAATTGAGGCGATTGTTGACCTTGACCGTGCCGTGCCTGGACTCCGAAGCATCTCGAGGATGAAATTCCGGACGGAGAGAGATAAAGTGCTCCACGTGACTTATCGGGGTGCCAAGACTTTGTCCCGTTGCCGCCGCATCGAACTTTTTTGTCTTGTCCTTCCACTTCGGGCTTCCGCCGTTGTTTGATATCAATTTGTTTTTGACTCGCTTCTTCGCGGTTGATTCATCATGGTATGTTGAGATGCGTTTGGAATCTATGGTATTCGGATTGCTAACTGATTGTTCCGTGTGCAGCCTCAGAACGAGTTCGTCTCCCCCACCCACGCCCCAAAGCTGGGCCCCGACCCGAGCTGTTTTTCCACCGCCGGGGAATCGATATGTCGAAGCCACGAACAAAGTATGCTGACGAGGGATTAGGTATATCGAACGCTGGCAGAAGCAGCACGGTAAGCGGCTCGATCACGATGAGCGTGTCCGCAAGCGCCAGGCCCGTGAATCGCACAAGCAGTCCAAGGATGCGCAGAACCTGCGCGGCCTGAGGGCCAAGCTGTACCAGCAGCAGCGCCATAAGGAGAAGATCCAGATGCGTAAGCGCATCAAGGAGCAGGAAGAGAAGAACGTCAAGTCTTCCGCTCCCGATGAGCCATCCAAGACTCCTCTGCCCCAGTATCTGCTTGATCGGTCCCAGGCCACCAACGCCAAGGCCCTGTCCAGCGCCATCAAGGATAAGCGGAATGAGAAGGCGGCTAAGTTTGCTGTGCCTCTGCCTAAGGTCAAGGGTATCAGTGAGGAGGAGATGTTCAAGGTCGTCAACACCGGAAAGAAGACCCACAAGAAGTCCTGGAAGCGCATGATCACCAAGCCTACTTTCGTTGGTAGTGACTTCACCAGACGCCCTGTCAAGTACGAACGGTTCATTCGTCCTATGGGTCTGCGTTACAAGAAGGCCAACGTTACGCAGTATGATTTATCACCTTTCCCCTCATTCTGTCTGGTATGGGAGTCGATTAACTGACGTAATGGCTTTTTCTCTTTCCAGCCCCGAACTGGGTGTCACCGTCCAGCTTCCCATCCTTTCCGTCAAGAAGAACCCCCAGAACCCTCTGTATACCCAACTGGGTGTCTTGACCAAGGGTACCATCATTGAAGTGAACGTTTCCGAACTGGGTCTCGTCACCACCAGCGGCAAGGTCGTCTGGGGTAAATGGGCGCAGATCACCAACAACCCTGACATGGACGGCACGGTCAAGTGAGTTATCTCTTTACACTTCATACAATCTCCCATAATACTAACATTGTATAATCACAGCGCTGTCCTCCTTGTCTAAACACCTTCTCTCATCCATGATTATGAATCCCGCCCTATTCCTTCATATCATCATACCATATCCCTCCCTATCTCAAAATATGCCCTGGTTGCGTTGGTTTGTGTTCGTCTTCACATAGACTATATCAGTGGGTGTGGCGTTAGCGGCGCGCGAAGTATCCGTCTTGTTTCCCAATTTTCATATTCATTTGCCGAAAGGTTTCCTGTCTGTTTCTCATGTGACTTGACTCGACATTGGCTTGCTGAGGCCAGCGAGCGTACCATTTAAGCGCTAAATAAATGAAGCTTGATTTGGTTCGAGTGGTAATTAGGTCCTTACACTGGAAGTAACTAGTAATATGTAGTATAGATCGAGTTGTTAGTACAGTAAACCGTGGGTACGAGCAATTAATGCAGACCACCCCTAAAATTGCTTATGGTGGAGGAACCCTTATACTGATAAATGTTATGGAACATGGCTTATATTTGACCAGTTGACTGGGAATCTGACCAATTGACTAAAGTTATATGTTTTAGTATACTATTCTACTATTACTAGACGTGGCCAAGATAGTATCTAAAGGCTTTTTTGGATTATTTAATTATAGAATCAGCTGATTCAATCTATGTCACCTTGATAAAAGCGATTTTGTATGGGATGAGATCTGGATTCTAGCAATTTCCTAGTATCAGGGATTTAAGTAGATTTATAGGTAAAATCGGCGATTGACACCGGTGATTGAGTTGTTTAACTGATGGATTCACTATGTGTTGCTTTTATCCAGGCTTTACTATAGCTATACTCTACGGATAAAGAATATCGATCATCTACAGCAAGACCGGAATTGCAAAGTGACATATGTAAATTAGTATATTCCAATTATACTCTTAGACCGAACTCCGAATACCCATGCTGTTTCTGAGTCCCACAGCTTCCAATGCAAAAAAACAACACGTAATCTGTCAATGACCCAATCAATAATCAATCGCCCAGGCTGAAGCGCGACTCAAGACAAAAGACAACACCATGTTTCCAGCGGGTGTGTTCCGTAAACCAAAATAATTGTAGCAGAAGAGGACGTATAGATCCAAAATGGAACAAGAAGTGAAACAGGTATGTGTCGTACAGAACAAAGGAAAAGGCGAGGATATAACGGTGTAACTTGAGAACGCCGGGTTCATCGGAGAGGTATCAGGACGTGAAAGACACACAGGAACATAAGAAAGGTCGGTTGGTTTAGTCGACAGTGTAAGTTGGTTGCGATTAACTAGCTGCCTTCTTCTAGTGCAGCTTTGATTTTAGCGAAGAATCCGGCGGGCCAAGCGGCTAGTTCTTCGTCCTTGGGGATACCACGGACACGGCAGTGGTTGACCACGTTCACTAGGATTCGGTTCAGCATGTCCTGTGTGACTGGGACAGCACCTTCGAGCTGCGCGTCTGGGTAGAGGAATGGATCGCGCTGGCCGAGAAGCTCTTCCACGGTTGGACGTAAAGTTTGATCGCGCTGGAGACAGCGCTTCAGCGTTCGGACTAGACCAGGAGGTACGGGGACGCCCCCTACGCCGAATGCTGGGAAGTCAATCTTCACGTGGGGATTAGGGATGGCTAGGATGCGTTCGTAGTATTTGGCGATTTTGGCAAACGGAGGCTGGCCGTACACCATCTTATAGAGAATGCATCCCAAACTCCATACGTCACTTGGCTTGCCTAGCTTCATCATCTTTCCGACACTTGCTGGCAGGCCGAGAGAAGCGTTGGAGTCGACTAAGGCCTCGGGGGACATGTAATTCGGAGTCCCCACCTGCTGTTCACGGTGCACATTTACAGTGTTATCTTGGATGGCGTTCGCAATGCCGAAATCGATAAGTTTCAATCGGCCCTGAACCAGGAGGAAGTTCGCCGGTTTCAGATCAGAGTGGACAATGTTGTGATCGTGTACAGCTTGGACACACTCGAGCATCTCCTTCCAGTAGTATCGGGTAAAGTTGATGTCGAATCTCGCGTCTTCAGCGTTCAGTCGGTAGGTAAGGATCTTCTCTAGATCTGACTCTCCAATTTCCATTAAGACACTCAGAGTATGTTTGTCCGAGTTCAGCTCCCAATCGAATAAGCGGACGACACGATCAAGGTTCTCCAATTTCTTCAGCAAGTCAATTTCACCCTTGTATCCAGCTAGGGTTGTTGGATCGACGTCCTCCAGATTTACCCTCTTCAGGGCAAATATCTTATAGTTTTCAGCCATGACGCGGTAGACTCTCGAACTCCCACCACGACCGATGCAGTCCAGCCGGGTGAAGGGCTTGTGGTTGACCGAAACTTGACTGCGCTTTTTCCGTGACTGTGATGCCGTAGCAGCTCCTCCTGTCGCGGTGGCGGTCTCAAGAACGGACATCTTAGGAGGAGGAGGGGCCGGCCTGTGAGGGGTGTTATTACTTCTTGTTGCAAGTATCTTTCTAGGGGAGTTCCCGTTCCCTGCAGGTGTCTCCCCATGCTCTTTCTTCTCATCCCCATACACCACAGCAAGCTTCTCAGGCTTGTCCAGCAAGTTGAAACCCTGAGGCTTGGTGCGCTTGAACGTCGGTGGAGGCTCATTCTCCTGGTCTCTAGACGAAGGCAATGTAGGCGGAAGAGGGACTTTGAACACAGGCTGTTCCTGCGAACTTGAGGGTTTGGAGGACATTTCTGAAGAAGACCCAGGTGTTGATTTCGAGTGCGATCCATAGGATTTCGGAGAGGATGATCTAGAAAAGGGTCCATCTGCACGATCATAGGATCGGTGCTCGTCGGTTCTGAGTGGTGGGCTTGGATCGGCCCATGATACTTTGGGTGACGAAGATTTCGCTGTATTCTTATAGTGGTAGTCGGCGCTATCGATATTCGGGTCGAGCTCTTGGTCTTCATTATTCTCTTCACTCTGTCGTCGTAATACACCACGTCTTGCGGGACCGTTCAAGAACGTTCCAGTGAGTCGTCCGACCCTCTTGACGCGCAATGAGCTCGCCATGCCGATATCCTCCGGATTTCGCGTTCGTAATACCGATGAAGGACCGGTGCGAGGAGCGTAGTCATCCTCATACCTATACTTCCTTTCATCTTCTGAACGTTCCGCACTTCCGTGCTCGTCGACATAGCTCCTTTCAGCAGAGCGTCTCTGAGAGGGGGATACGGATGCGGGTGAGCGTGTATGGCTACGCGATGCATTGATCCGCACACTGCGTGGCCTTGGGGCGGGCGTAATGAAATCATTCGAATTGGTTCTTGCGTCCTGGTCGGCACTTTCGCTGTTGGACAGGAGTGATCCCTCCCTTCTTGATCTGCCGCCGCTGCCGCTTAATGATGGTGCAATGCGAACCACGCGAGGCGCAGGGCTTCCGGTCGAATTGCTTTGAGGAGGCGTTGCTCGAGATCGTCTTTCCTGGCTGGAGCTAGCCGATGATCCCATGCGCTCGCCGCGAAGCCGTGGGGACACATCTAGTCCATCTTCATCAAGCAGGGCCTTGACGGACGCGCTGAATTTCGGTTCGGGGACTTCGTCGTCAGAGCTATCTCCCGGCGAGTATTGTCTGGCCACGGAGGAATGGGTTCGAAAGGCGGATGAGTTTTGGAACTCTGGGGAGGTCCGCCTGGACCCGGAGCGGGAGAGCGCGGCGCGGGACATCTCACGGGTACGAGAATTGTCGAAGTAAGCCGGTAGGTGTGCTGTCGATGGTGAAGGGGGGCAAGGGCTTCATGAAAGAGCTCGGAGAGACCGCATTGACGTGTCAGCCCGAAGAACCAGCCCAGTTGGCCCCAATGGTACCTGCTGCAAAGGGTTAGTAGTCGACGTTTGGCGTGTTGTGGTTGATTCGTAGTAAATCGAAACATCCAACTTCGAATTGCCGGTGGCTGGGCGCGGGTCACGTGGCTAGGTTGTTGTTCTGGTTGCCCCGGGCAATCCTTTCCCCCCATCAACAATGATCATTAGACTCCCCACTCGATGATGTCGAGGTAACTGGAAGTCCCTCCTTGCTTGCACTGACATGGTCCATTCCTTTTGGCAAGTCATCTCGTCGCTTGTATTTTGGCTGACTTTGCATCTTCTGCAGGCAACCGTGCTTTCGCTTCGACGCGACGTTGACCCCCGGGGATTTTTAGCGCAAATCAGCAACTACGGTTAATGCTTCTGCTCCAATGGTAGCCTTTATCTTCCGTGCACTGATGTGCCACGGTACTTAACTTCCTTTCGTGGGTTGAATAGTAGTTGGTGTAAGCACTTAATGTTAATTTATTAATCAATTAGTTAAGTTGATCTTATCCTACTTTGATATACTGCTACATAGTACTACTGTCTATTGTTGCGGTGGAATTCGGTTACTGCTAGAGCAACGATACTAAGTATATATATATATCCGAATGGAACATCCCCTGTCAACTCCCTGGTCTGATTTAGCAACATCATGCTACTACTACGAACAACTACCACTAATTAGTATGAAGCGTGTAATGAGTCACTGGTAATACTAAGCACATCATGCTGACACAATTGAAGTTAATTAGTACTATCGTCGTAGTAGTGATAAACTTCTGGCAGCAGTACTACAAGCAGTACTATTCAATTGAGTAGTAACTCACAAATACTACGATAAACATCATGATAACACAGCCCTAGAAACTTCCTGGCTCTGAACCTCGAATCAAACGGCGACACGACTGCAAACGGAATACAACGCACAGACAGTAACTACTAAGGATCGATAACTAATTATACCGTATACTTAATGAATTTCTCACGATAAAAGTACGAGATAGGATGGAATGGCATGTCAAGGCACGATATTCGAACAAGTTTGATTCTATGGCTAATAGTCAAATCTACAGTGGAATGTGCACACCAGACGACGAAAGAACCGACTGCAGAGAGGTCCCCCTACTTCTGGCTCGTAGTTGCCTCCTGTCTTCTCAACAATGGATCACGCCAACTAATCACGGTTTACACGAGCTATGATCCCTAGTAGCCAGCTGTCCCATTTGCGAGCTTTGTAGGTTGAGGGCTTGATACAGGTTTGCTGGAACTGAGGCGGTTTCGTGAACAGGGAATTTGCTTGCCAAACCCCCTGTTCCTTACTCCGAGAATAACCTTTGGATAGCAGATGTGTGCGTCGAAGGCATACATCGATTGCCATTGCATGTGACAACTTTTGCCAGTGCAAGTATCTGCTGTGGTTTGTTCTTTATGACAGACCCATTAAAGTTCAGGTATATACTTCATCGACTTGTCAGCATCCTGATAAGCCTGGAAACTGATAGTGCGAAAAGTTGCTTATTGCATGAAGTCTGTCCTCTCGATCCAGTCTTTGAGCCAGAACTAATTTTGCGCGTGTATCGTGAGGCATTTTCTTGCCGATACGAGGAATCCAAGAGCGCAATTGTGCTTAAATGAGCATGCTAAAGTGTAATCCATGACTCGTAAGTTCAGTGGCGTAGTTTCGGTCTCAGAAATTACAGATCGATGAACTGGCGGAGAAAAGGAGGAGTCCTATGATATGGATCAGCTCTGGCAAAAATAGAACGTGGAATAAGCTCGCTGGGGCAAAGTTCCCAATACAGGAAACTAGTCCAACCTTGAAACATGGAGCATGAACGATATTCCCGATTGTCAAAAGTGTTTTTGGCCTCAGGTTTGACGTGACCTGCCACAAGCACCTGACATCACCTGACGGTCTGCAGCTTCCTAAAGAGGTATGCGCGGCCGAGTGTGCCTTCAGTCATTGTCATCGTCATCATCGTCGTCGTCGTCGTCCTTCGTTGTCGTCGTACTTACTCCCTAGGGAGACTGGGAGTTTCAGGAGAAGAGTTCCTCCATGGGTGTGACCGAAGTTCGCCGCCCCCTGCAGTGACTGATCGGATTGCCTCCGTTTCCTTCCCCTCAGAGTGACTTGGCAGCTGCTCCCCGGTCATTGTTCCGGCGGCAGCATATGCTAATTGCTATTCGCTCAATTTTAGGTGCAGGGTATGGTAGTACCTGGCTATTTGCGGCGGTCAATCAATATTAATCAAATTAGGTAAACTTCCGAGGTTAGTCGACTCAAAACCCGGTCAACTTTAACTAGAAGTCCTAACTGGGTCGGTCTTTTAGAGTTTCCACAGGAACGAACAACGATCGAACCCATCTGCAAGTGATGAAACCACGAAGACATCATGCAGATGCCACTGTTCCAGAGTCAAACAAACCTGTGTCCACAACTAACCCAGTGTCCACTTCCACTGCCTTGATTCCATCGTCTGGAGGGGAAGCCGTCGGCCCAGGACTGGCCTTACTAGTAGTGTTCGGTTAAAGCGGGCAACCGGCAGCTCAGGCCATTGGGATTTGGGGGAAAAGAGGGGGGTGGAGCCTCAGGAACCAAAGGTACGAGACCTTCGGGTCAGGAACGCCTGTTCGGGCAACGATTGCCCTTTCCAAAAGGCTTTCTTGCCATTACGATTGCCAGGTCGACTAGCCAGGGATCAATATTGGTATTGAAGAGCAGTCTAGATTGCTGCACGAGAAAGTCAACCGACATTTTAGGGCAGACTGTGTTGTGCAGCTTGTCGTTTGCTTGTGGTGGATGATGTTCTCTTGGCTTCTCTGCTTCTCAGGCTGAGGGCGCTTTACCGTAAGTATTCTTGCCTGCCGCGCTAAGGCAGTACCTACTGCATCCGCAGCTTCCTGTCCCTGACTAAAAAGCGATGCTAATAATGCACTAATTTAGCGTGCAAAGGCTGCATCCACCAGACCACATTCGGTTGTGCGCAGCACAGGAAAGTTGTGCTCCTGTTCTGCTTGTTGTTGTCCCCTGCACACTTCAGTCCACGAGTAGTCTCCCGCTACTTTTTTAGGTTAGTGACCCCAGCTGGCTTGTTTGAAGTGAGAGTTTTCTTCCTCCTTGGGGGAAATTAATTTTTCTATATTTGGAGTGGGTAGATAGAGCATGACACTGTCGAGCACTCGCCCGGATTCTCAATCGATGTTTTGATTTTACTACGAGTCCTTCATGACTGTAGTGCGCAGATAAGATCTGTGCTCCTTTCAATTATTGATTGCACTATCTACTTTGTATTGTGGAATGGATTTCTTGTCCGGGGGAAGAGTGGGCGGCCCCCTCTCTATTAGTTTTCAGAGTTCACTTGTCTCTTGCATTTGTCATTGCTTTTTCCTTTGTCTTTTGAAGCCTAACGTTCCGGAACTGGATTTATGCACCGCCCCGGAAATTAGTTGATCAGTCAACGCACATATGTCACAAAAATCTTAACGCCTTTTTTTTGTTGCTTTTCCTAGTTTTTGTTCCCTTTGCCTTCCCCTCCTCTGCCCACTATACCTGTCTTTTTCTCTCCTAACCACACCTGGATAGCGTCGGTTAGGCTCCGTACTCCGTATTTGACTATTTTTCTCTCTTAGTTGTTTTATCACATTTTGAAAGGGGATCTAAGCAACTCTAAAGTTTCACATTGACTTCATCCATGGGAGAAGGTGGAACCGGGCTCACAATTCAGGGACAAAACACCGGCCGTGTTGATCGCCCATGGGTCGGCCTCGACGGCTGGCCGGCACTGGGATTATCCTCTTGTTTACCTGATGAGGGTCTGCGCAGTCTGACTGCCATTGGCCCGTCATCCGATCACCACAGCCAACATCACCCCCCCGACTTGCTCTTCTGGTTGGCATTCGGTCGCTGACCACCCCACGGGTGACCCGACGATGATGTTGATGATAATGATGTTGCTCATGCTGTGCTGCCGATGCCCACTGTACTGTACCTTCCCGCAGCAGTGTTGCACACCCAGACGCTCACACCGAAGCATCCATGTTTTTTCTTCTTACTTGCTTTTTTCTTTCCCACCGTGGATGCTAGCATGAGCGTCTTCAAATCAGAAGCATGGTTGATTGATACTAGTGTACTCACTCACTTACTCCCTGACAACGGAGCCTCTCACCAGTACTGAATTGAGAGCCCCAATTGGTGGCGGCCTTGGTCAGTGGCTCACCGGCCTAGGCTCCTCCCCCTGCTTACAGCGTCCGTTGCTTGACAAAATAATACTACTATGGACGGAAAAGGTCAGAGGTGACCCGCAAAAAGCTCGGAACTAATACCTTCTCAGTCCAGGATACCCCGTTCCCCTAAATAGTATTCTCGTTCTGCTTAGTTTGTTTCGGATGAGCCCACATACAACGGTAGTCCGCTCTGGTTTGCTTCCTAGTTTCCACTGGCACCCGGCGCATCCACTTGGCTAGCTTGGCCTCGAAGATCCGGGTCCCTCGATCACAGAGGACCCAACATGCTCTCAGCCGGGTGTGCAGCTCCATTCGTGGTTCCAGACTTGGGGGAGAACTCCATCGCCCGATCCCGCTGGCACGGGAGGAAATCCCTCTCAGGGGTATATAAACCTCCAGGCTGATCACCTCGTTCGATGAACATCAAGCCCTTCGTCAGTCACTTTGTTTTGTCTTGCTTTTTGGGTTCTGTCTTTCCTTACCCGACCCTCATTTTCACCAGTCTGTCGTTAACCAATTAGGCTGCCTCGAGCCAGCCGTTCTTCCATTTTCATACTCTTTTGGATTCTTTTGACAGGTTCAATTCAGACACTCGCTGACGTCTTACTCACTCTTTGTTATACATTCTTTGCCCTCTCGGCACAATGCGTTCCGACAAGCTTCTCGTGCTCGCCGGTCTGGCGAGCTATGCTCTCGCTCTCCCCACGAAGGACTTGGACCCCCGTACCTTCGGCCTCGTCGCCGAGATCCTCACTGACCTTGGTGAGGACCTGACCGGTTTCATCGAGGCCCTCCTTGGCGGCGGTGTCAAGAGCTCCGCAAGCCTCCTCACTGGTATCAGCGCTCAGGCAGCTGCTGTCCTTGAAGGTGGTGCCCTGGGTTGCACTGCTGGCAAGATCGAGGCCTCCGCTCGTGCGGAGCTGGCTGCGTGGATCCGGGCTCATGCCAGCTTCGATGCCTCCCTCAAGTCGTCTCTGTTGGCCTGGTGTGAGGGTGAGGACTCTGCCACCTTGTCCGTCGATGTCCGTGCTGGTCTCGCTCTGTTCATTCCCACCTGCGCCGAGGTCGCTGCCAAGGGCGACATTTACGTGACTGTCGACGGTATCTTCTCCGTTTCCGAACTCGAGGCCGCTGTTGTCCTCAGCTCTTCTTTCCAGTCTACTCTGTCTACTTTCCTGTCCGGATCCGTTGGTGTCGAATTGGATGCCGACATCAAGGCTGGTCTTTCCCTCTGTGCTGGTGGTGGTGTCGTCGCCGACCTTGCTTCGGACATCGAGGCCTCCCTGAAGGTCTGGCTTTCCGGCTCTGAGTGCTCTCTGAGTGCCTCCCTCAAGGCTGCTGTCCTTGCTTGGTTGGAGGGCAAGGCTAGTGTGTCTGGCGTTGTTACCATCGGCACTGTGCCCACTGCTGGTCTCACCACTGTCTCCGTCGGTGCCGCCATTAACGCCCTTGTCGAAACCTCCGGTGCCCTCACCGCTAGCGCCCAGGCCTACCTCTCTGCCTTCCTCAAGTCCTCCCTCGCCGCCGACATTGAGGCCGATGTTAAGGTCGTTCTGGAGGCCTGTATCTCGGGCAAGCTTGCCACTTCCGTCAGCGCCGATGCCCGTGCTGCCCTGGCAGTCTGGCTCTCTGGCGATAGCTGCCAGCTGGGCGTTGAGCTGAAGGCCGTTCTCTACTTCTGGCTTTCCTTTGCCCTGAGCGGCGACGTCACCGTCGACTTGTCCACCGACATCATTACCGAACTCGAGACTTTCATCACCGGTACCATCGACACTCTCATCGGTGTCAACATTAGCGGCGTGCTCTCCCTTCTGCTGTCTGGCGAGAGTCTGGCCTCCCTTTCCCTGGAGTCTCGTGCTGAGCTGTCTGCTGTCATCGGTGGCTGCGCTGGTGTTGATATCAGCTCCTCCATTGAGATCATCGTCATTGAATGGCTTACCGGCTGCAGCATCCCCGGCGGTCCTTCCATCGGCTCCGGCTCCGGCTCCAGCTCCGGATCTTCGTTCTAAAGCTCATCCCCAGCGCCCTCCAGCATTCCTGCCGTCGCTTTCGACCCCCGCTGTCAGCGTTCCTTGCTGTTCCCACCGTCTCGGTTCCCACTGGCGGTTCTAGCCCCAGCAAGCCTGCTCAGTCCGGTGCCCCTGGTGTCCCCTCCGGTGGTGTTGTTCCCTCCTCTCCCGCTCAGTCCGGCGCTCCCGGATCCCCCAACGGTGTCAGCCCTACCGACACTCCTTCGGTTCCCTCCTCCCCTGCCCAGTCTGGTGCTCCTGGCTCTCCCTCTGGCGGCGTCCCCGCTCCCAGCGGTGGCGTCGTTCCCTCGTCTCCTGCCCAGTCTGGTGCTCCCGGCGCCCCTAGCGGCGGTGTTGTCCCCACTGCCTCTGTTCCGGAAGGCGCCAGTGCCGGTGCCTCCACTACTCCCTGCGACACTATCACCGGCGAGACTGTTGTTCCCGTTGCTACTATGACCGAGGGCGGTTCTGCTCCTAGTGCCCCCGCTCAGTCTGGTGCTCCTAGCGTTACCCCCATCGTCGGTGGTGGTGCTGGCGGCTCTACTGGTGGTTCTACTGGCGGCTCTGGCTCTGGCTCTGGCTCTGGTTCTGGCTCCGGCTCTGGCTCTGGCTCTGGCTCTGGCTCTGGCTCTGGCTCTGGTTCCGGCTCTGGCTCCGGCTCTGGCTCTGGCTCTGGCTCTGGCTCTGGCTCTGGCTCTGGCTCTGGCTCTGGCTCTGGCTCTGGCTCTGGCTCTGGCTCTGGCTCTGGCTCTGGCTCTGGCTCTGGCTCTGGCTCTGGCTCTGGCTCTGGTTCCGGCTCCTGGTCCGGCTCTGGCTCTGGAGGTGCTGCTCCCTCTGGTAGCGTTGTTCCCGCCGGGCCCTCCGGCTCTGTCCCTGCTGTTCCTACCGCTAGCGTCCCCGAGGGCGCCAGCGCTGGTGCCTCCACCACCCCCTGTGACACCATCACCGGCCAGACTGTTGTTCCCGTTGCTACTATGACCGAGGGCGGCTCTGCCCCCAGTGTCCCTGCTCAGTCTGGCGGTGTTGTTCCCTCTGCTCCCGCTCAGTCCGGTGCTCCTGGTGCTCCCTCCGGTGCTCCTGCTCCCAGCGGTGGTGTCGTTCCCTCGTCTCCTGCTCAGTCTGGTGCCCCCGGTGCTCCCTCCGGTGGTGCTAGCGTCCCTGCTGTCCCCACTGCTAGCGTCCCTGAGGGTGCCAGCGCTGGTGCCTCTACCACCCCCTGTGACACTCTCACCGGCCAGACTGTTGTTCCCGTTGCTACTATGACCGAGGGTGGCTCTGCCCCTAGTGCTCCTGCCCAGTCTGGTGCTCCTGCTCCCTCCGGTGGCGCTCCTGCCCCCAGCGGCGGTGTCGTTCCCTCCGGTGGTGCTAGCGTCCCTGCTGTTCCCACTGCTAGCGTCCCTGAGGGCGCCAGCGCTGGTGCTTCCACCACTCCCTGCGACACCCTCACCGGCCAGACTGTTGTTCCCGTTGCTACCATGACCGAGGGCGGTTCTGCCCCCAGTGCCCCTGCTGAGTCTGGCGCCCCTGGTGCCCCCAGCGGTGTCAGCCCCTCCGAGACCCCTGCCGCTCCCGCTCAGTCTGGCTCTGGCAACGCTCCCAGCGGTGGCTCTCCCGCCCCCAGCGGTGGTGTCGTCCCCTCCGGCGCTGCTAGCGTCCCTGCTGTTCCCACTGCCAGCGTCCCTGAGGGCGCCAGCGCTGGTGTTTCCACCACTCCCTGCGACACCATCACCGGCCAGACTGTCGTCCCTGTCGCTACCGAGACCGTGACTCCTGTCCCCGTTGCCACCTCGGCTACTGAGGGCGGTTCCTCTCCTCAGATCACCACCGCTCCCGTCGCTGGCTCCGGCTCCGGCTCCGGCTCTGGCTCTGAGACTGAGGTGGTTACTGTCACCGTCACTGCTACTGTGAGCGTTTCGGCTTGCGACTGGTAAGCTTCCAACAGCAGCCTACAAGTTACGACGATAGCAACGGCATCAATGGTGAATAGTCCTCCTGTACATACCTAATTTTCTAATTCTAATTATTGTGAAGATTGTCTTGAATATCTGCTCGAATTTGTACAAGGCGAGGGAAGCAGGATGTCTATAGTGGCGAAGCAGGTACAAATCTTTATTTTCTGGCTTGATTGTTTGATACTATCCCACCTTTCCCTCCAATGGAGTCCATTCGCCTTGCCGATGCAATGATGTGTTATTTGAATACCTGTACAGTACTTATGATGGAGGATTGAGCGAAAGCCAGCCTCGTCTTGAATGTTCATTTCTTTCTTTTTCTTAATCTCGATTCGATATGCCAAACCAGCGTATCTCCATGCCAAGTAGATCTTGATTTCTTAGCAACAACATGAGCGGCCCCCTTCTGCCCCAAACTCCCAAAGCAGTAACCAAGCAGACAATCCTCGTTCTTAGTAAGACAGTTCTCCTGCCCCCGACGATCCCGTCCATCGTGATTAGAGCCAAACCAACGAACGAACGAATGCCCCTCTAATACGAATCCCTGCCTGTTTGTTTGTTTGTCTGTCTTTACTCATCAACGTTCCAGAACCAAACCACCTCATCCCACTCAGCTGACAAGGTCTGAGCAAAACACTACTCAGTCGATCACAATTAGAGAACGCGACACAGCCACGACATGTCACTACATCATCATCAAGCGGCTGAGGACGGGATACAGGGTACGTCATGATAGCGGCACGCAGTGGGTAAGCTGACGAAAAGAGGTGATTCTGAGCTGATGTGTACACCGTAGTGACTTGAGTTAGGATTGACTAGTTAGCATGGTGGAGGAGATTGGAGACGGGATGAATTGGGATGTTCGTGTTTTGCATGCTATCCACTTACTACTAAAATTATCTGTGCGAATGGGTGGTTAATTAATTGACTATTATTAAATGGATGCTTATTTTCTACAATGCTATTATTATAATATAATACCTATATAGGGCTGTGGGGGGTGATGGGCGCACGTCATTCATTATCTGGGACAAGTATACAGTGGGAACCGGTACTGGCATTATGGAGTCACTACTATTGTGGGTATGTATGTGTGCTTAAGCTCTTATCAAGATGATCTTATATGTGTCTTGGTGATCGTTGCTGCTCTTTGTAGGTGGGTTCAGTGCTTAAGATATTTTATTATTATTTATTGTTCCTATCTGAATGGATTGTGCTCGTTAGGATTAGTGTCTGTGCTGATGATGGTACTTAGTCGGTTATAGGGGGCTGTTGGTATAGTTTGTTTGTTCGTTCGTCACGAGGTTAAGGGGAAAAGGGATACGATGACGAGAGGAAGTCCGTCGGTTGTTTAGGATTATCTAACTTTCTATCTAGACTGCAGTAGATTACACGAATTTTACATGATATGATGTTGTAGTTGATTTGATGTACAACTCACCTAGGTTTATCACCAACTGGTGAATACCCCCTCAAGTGCCCCTCGATACGAATTCGATATTTTCCTAGGCGTGATTCAGTACCTACAGTATAAAATTCTGTGTCATTGTTATTATTATTGTAAGCGTGACATGGCTCTGCTATCTACTATTTACCCATGTAGGAGCCGGACTCAGGCTGAGTATTCTAACATACAGTCTGCCTTCAACGCCAATCCTTACGAGGTCTTAACATTGTCCATATAGGAGGCACTTGGAAACATGTACCAAATTGAAAGGCGTGCTCAATGGCACTATTTCTTTCCCCTATCTAATTCCCGAATGCAAGATACCATACCCTGTTACTCTACAGTACACTAATGCCTTACCGAATCTACTCCCATATCCCCCTGGCTCCTCAGAAGGTGGAATAGGGGCATACTTGGCTCCCTCCCAGCTAACAACCACCACAACCAACCACCATATTAAGATCTCCCATTAACTGAGCATCTCTATACCAACGGCTCAACGGTCTAAATAACCGACAAACAATAGTCTCAATAGTCGATCAGCCCGAAATTAATAGTCAACCTAGCCTTGTGGAGAATCCCCCGAAAACGGTCGCGTGCCGGGTGAACTTTGTTTAAATGAAGTGCGCTAGTAGTGGTTCCCCCGGACTAATATTTGGGATCACTGTAGAATTAGACTACTATCTCATTTGCCAAGAAAACTTTGTTCCACGGAACTGGGATTGCGTGGTCTGAACTTTGCAGAAAAATGAATTATTCTATGATGGCACAGGGGTTGGATGGACTATTGACGGAGATATTGCTGAGACAGGCATAGGATGCAAACTCTCTTTTTGTTTATTGTTTATAGTGACATTACCACGTGTGCATAGATCGCTAAGTATTGAGTTGCGGAATCCTCCAATCCTTCGCTCTTTTAGTGGGACTTTGGTATGTGGGTTTATGTAGGTGAAGCTGTGTGTGTGTGTGTGCGCCCTGAATGGTAGGGCATGTAGACTACCTTGAAGATGCAGAGCTACCTACCTTGTCGCTCGAGGCGGTCCGGCGCATCGCGATGATCTTCTCGCGGAGCAGCTTCTCGCGTAGTTCGGAGCTGGAGATGCGTACACGAGCTGGGTTATTGGAGGGAGCAGCAGTCTGCGATCAGGTGGTTAGTTTAGGTCTGTACGGTGAGAGGAGCAATGCAGGGTTTGTTTGGGCGTTGAACGAACTTAGGAAATCATAGAATTTGTGTGAAGAGGACCCTCAGAAATCATTCACCCACCTCAGTGGCATCCTTCATCTCTTGGTCGCTCGAGCTCGGCTTCTCAGCCTGCGGTGGTGATCGTTTGGCGGCATCCTCGTCTTCATCAGCCATCCTCTTTCGTTTATCACTGGGGACGGATACGGAGGACGTGTTGCGCCGTCTCCGCGCAACTGGGGCATATCTCTCAATGGACCGACGCCGCTTCCTATCTCTCATGCGGCTGTGGCTGCGGCTGCGACTCCGACTGCGGGAGTCCTGGCTGGCGCTGCGGGAGCGACCTCGACTGCGGCTGCGGCTAACACTCTGGGACGAGTACCGGCGTCTGCGGGTGTCATTGCGATCTCTGCTGCGACTCAAACGGCGGTCGTCACGGGACTTGCGGGCCTTTGCAATATCAGCGGTGGATTCTTTCTTATCATCTCGTGAAGAGTGAGGCGATGATCCTCTGCGTCTGGTGCCGCTACCATCCGACCCTTGCGACCTCGAACGGGACCTCGATGCTGAAGAACCTCTCCTCTTGCGTCGATCCCTGTAGACAGGTGAACGCGATGCACTGCGGGAAGAAACGGATCTCCGTCTCCGTCGGTCTCTTCTGGGACTACGTGAGCGTGATGATTCACTGCGGGTAATGGATCTTGCACGATCACCGTAATCAGGGCTGCGTCTCCTGGGCCTCCTGCGATCACCGCGGTCCCGGGGAGACAGAGCCGCTAATCGACCGACGTCGTCGGTTCCGGTCGTTGCCAGGATGGCGCCGACGTGGTGGGGGTGAGCGCGAGGAAGACACGGAGCGAGAACGAGAGCGGCTGGGCGAACGGGATGGCCGACGGCCTCGACGAGAGCCTGAGGGCACGTAGGAATCGAACTCTCGTCTGCCAGGCGGACCTCGAAAACGGTCACGGCTGCGTTGTCGCGGAGGCGACCGACGCCTATCAAAGTCTCGACCACCGCGACCACCGCCTCTTCTTCCTCCCCTTGTGCGCTCAGACCGTTCTCTGCGTCGAAGGTCTTCAAGTTCTCGTTCTCGTGCGCGCTCCTGTTCCTTCTGTTTGCGGGCTTCCTCGGCGGCTCTTTCCGCTTCGATCTAAATAACGAAGGCGTCAGCATGCGACCAACAACCCAGACATCCGCGAGGCATCCCACCTTCTCTTGGATAAGCTCCAGTTTCTTCGCCTCCAGCAACTCCTTGGGCACGCCCTGGGGGTTTTCCTGGGCACTCAAGCATAGCGACCACAGCTCTTTGCAAAACTTGCCAGTATCTTTATCCAGGAATCCGGTGAGCTGAATCTGCAGGGACTTGATATCGGGCTGAGATAATGCAAAGTGAAACCAGTTAGCTTGAATGGCTGAACCCCGAGTAAAACATAGCAAATCAGCATTAAAGGCAAAAGGTAAAAGGTCGTACATACAAACCGCGACCCTTCCAAAAGGTTAAAGCAGAGCTCAATAACGACGTCATCTTCATTTCCCAGAATCTCGGAGATCTTCCCAGCAATCCATCTGCAATAGTCAAAATGTTAGTTCCAGATCCGGATGATAACAGCACCTCGCGATAAGAAACTTAGCTGGGGCTTTTGCAACGCACTTCTTCATCACCTCGATGTTGACCTTGGTCATATCCACCTTCCGGCTGAATTCCGGAGGGAATTTGGTCTGCTTCAGCAGTTTGGCATCCACACTCGTCGCCATGGTTTCTAGTCCTAGTCCGAGAGAACCAACAGCTATTGAGGAGTCGACAATATGTGCAGCGACCGGCGCGTGAACAGCTGCGGTGATGAGCCAGCCACGAGACTGCGGTTTGGGTGTGTCTCGACGTCCGAAGGCCGGAGTCGCAGTCGGACCGAGGATAGCTTCAATCTTGCCTTTTTGGGAAGTTGATATTACCCGAGTCCTAGTAGTTACCTTCTCAAGGACTCAGGGATCAATCTATATGTTATCCCAGTCTTAAGCACTACTATATTTCAATAATTAATTAATCTTTGACTATGCCAGTGCTCCTTCTCCCCTTCGAAAGAAACTTGAAGTGCCTGGTCACGTCCAGTCACTACGTAGTATTATATTCAACTCTATATCCTCGACGGTGTGGGCTGTCACTGAGCCTCTGCACTCATACCGTTGCCATGAAATTTTGTGATAATCACATATAATATACAGCCACCCCACCTATTTAACCACATAGTTTCCTTATGCCTCCCCGCGTAACGGGTCCGGCACCCATGCTTCGAGGTCTACCACTCCAGCCCCTCTCTCAAAGGCCCAGTCCCGTATAGCTTCAAAGTTGCGGCAGGTATGTACGATTCTTCCATCTGCCTGCCACCGCGGTATACTCTCATTCCACAGCCAGTGGATGGTTGATGCATCCGAGCTACACATCAGACTCTGGCTGATAGAATTAGAACAGTGGTCGAGATGGATCCAAAATTCCTCCACCGCTTCAGGGTCACTCATGTTGAGGTCCAGGTCGTGGCCCCAGGCCTTTTTATGGAGGTGGTGCTAATAGGAAGGGTTACTGGATCCGTGTGCCTGTTTCAGAGGAGAAAAGGAGGAAAGAAAGGACTACAGACAAGTCAAAGTGGTATGAAAGCGTCATGGATCATTTGAGGAAAGTGGTAGACGAGACGTGCATATCGCTTAAATTGTGTACATGCACAGATATTGGCAGTTAGCAGTGTTTAATCAGATTGGCCCTGGAGGACTGTTGTTAGGATCGGGCTCATTCCAAGCCCATACAGGAGGAAGCGCCAGTATCTCGCGGTGCCGTATAGAAACTCCGGGCAAGAAGTAAATGTTAGGAGCGGTTAGTATGCTGCAAGTTCGATAGATTGATTGGATCATTGGATAAGTATGGCTGAGCAGTAACTAGTGAGTAGTTGCATCAAGTAGTTAGAGACTAAGTAGTCAGCTGAGCTCTCTCTCATGAGGTTCAGCTCATACTTGCTTTTTTTTCCCCCATCAGCCTGTATCCCAGATTACCGGCCATTACACATTATACTATATTGGAACAGGCCGATCAGCTGAGAGACGGGGGCAGATGTGACTCGAAATCTCGCGGAATACTTCCTCCAGTTACGATACCTCCCAGTCGAGCATAGCTGCGATACATCGACACTGTGTTTCGGTGATCGACTGCTGTGATGACATTCGTAGCATTGCATTTGTCGATCATCACACCATTCATGCAACAGTATAATCTGCTCTTGCTATACAGCCTCATACTTAGCTCACGAGGATTGGTTGAGAATGACAAGTTCCATGAATCCCCTCACCCTTCGTAGCAAAGCTACTAAAGGGATTTGACTACCATAGATTACCAATGCCGGACTAGGGGCTGATCATCGTATTTTCCCATCTACGACTGCATGCTGATCAACAGGAAGGTGTGATCTCTTCACATCAGTGAGCCGACGTAGCCACGAAAGCGGGGAGAAGAAAAACACAGGCCCGAAAGTCGAATCTTCAGGGTAGGGCGAGCTCGCGTATAAAACGAACGCCAGGACGTCTCTCATCAGCTCTACACAGAACTCACAATTTGACTCAACCAACGGTCAATCCACCCCCTTGTGCCTCGACAGCACGCCTGTCTCATTTTATAATACCTCTCCAACATTCAAGATGAGATACACACTCCTTGCTCTCGCGCTGGTTTCTGCGACCCTGGCCTTGCCCACCGTAAGTAATAGAATATGGACACACCCTGAACAGCTCTTTGTCTACTGCTCAGGGATCAGCTTAGGCAACCGGCTAATGCAGGGCTTCACAGGACCTCTCGAGCCAGAAATCTGCCGCCGTGGCTCGAGAGACCAACTTTGAACCGGCTGGTTCTGACTCGTTCCCTTACCAGCGTGACGTCCAGGATGCGCAGGAGACTACTGCGAAAGACTTTGATGGACCTTTTGGTCCGGGCCTTCCAAATGTATGTGGTCCTTCAATCCAAAGTGATGACCAGCCTGCTGACAAAGCTGCGTGGAAGGGCGTTGCTTTTAGAAGAGATCTGACTGGTACCAAGCCATTTGTCAAGCGTGACAACCAGGACGCCTAGGAGGCAACTGCCAAAGATGGTTCCCCATCTACATAGAAAAATCTCGGGGTATGTGGCTCTCTAATCCAGTATAATAGCCAATTTGCTGACGACAGATTCCTGAAAGGGTTTTGGCTTGCGTGGAGAGCCATCCGCCAAGCCTGAGAGTCAGGCCAGTCCTTAGGTAACACTGTGATAGAAGAGAGGGATCTAATGTCGGGTTAAGGGTAGTAATAATACACGGGTGAAACTAAGTATTTTCAGTATTCGACATACTCGAAAGAAGACTTACAGCCCTGAAGCAAGCTCTTACCTGGTATGCAAAGAATGACTTGAGAGGGGCAGGAGGTATGGGGCCATAAAGTACTGCTAGTCATTCTTTTGCAGTGTACTTTAAATTGATAGATTGCTCAGGCTTCAGCTCGGTATATGTCAATCCATGAAGCTGAGTGGTAGACTATCAACTACATATTGGGGTTCTCCTCACTTTAGAGACGGTACATACCAAGACTCCTTTCAGCTTAGGCTTCTTGAAGCCGGGTTATATCTAACTTTCCGAAAACAAACCCTGGAAATGCTGTATCATATTCAAGATAAAGATTGTCATAGGACGTCAGTGCCGGACTCGTGACACAGACAACTCGCCCCAGCTCTTCCACGCACTGCGCATGTCAGATATAACTGTATGACTTTGATTCTGACGGACCACTTTTGTAATATCTCAACCCAAGCATACCATTTGGAAAGCTCAGAGGTAGCCTTCGACAGATTGCCCTTCATTTGAGAGCTGGAGGGATCGACAGGATGAATTTATTAGGACCGGGTCCAACGCGAATAGGAAAGCAATTACCAGAAAGCTCATCACCACTGTTACAAATAATGGGATGTCTGGCACCACTAGGTCAGTCCAATATCCAATGACCTATTAGTGAAAAAAACCAGGTTATCAAGAGCACAATTGCTTGCAATCACATGTGCCCCCAATATCTAATGTACTCAATCATATTCCTTGCTGACAACTCCAGGATTTGAGATCATGAATGTTATATGTCAATGTATATAGAGAGAGATTGTGGAGTAGATGGTGTAGGTAGCCCAAGAAGATGCATCATTTCGAGATGGCAATTGTGACTTGTAGTGATCAATAGTAAAATAAATTATCTGGTGGCTAGGGAACTAGGCTTTCTGATAAGGAAGATGGAGTGGCCAGTGTTGGCTGCAACTGCAACTGCAACCCCCACCCCCTACCCAATGAGTAATGGAGCCCAAGATATGCCAGAGTTGGCGAGGATTCTTAGCAGCATAGCATCCTAGAAGTCACAGCACCTTTGAAACACTATGTATGTTTATATGATATTATTACCTCGGAGTGACATCAACATACAGCCCTTCACCGATAACGCCAGCCCAAATAAAACGTCCAGATGCATGAAAGGTAGAATTCGCAAACAACAAAATAACGTCAAAGCCAGGTAGCTATTATTCTTAACTAGCTTAGTTCCCTTAACACTCGGCCTACTTCTTCCCTTGCACGCGCAAGCTCCTCATCAACCGTGCCTAATGCATGACGGGCCTTGAACTCGTAGTGCACGTCGACGAGCTCCTTTGCGCGACTGAGGTCCTCGTTTTCGTAGCGACTCAAATCTGCTCCAGAGCTTGCTTGGCTTGTGCTCGTTGCTTTGAGTCCTAGTTGCGCTGTAATATGGGGTATTCTCTCATTAACAGTAACGAGCGCGAGGGCGTCATGGTGGTCCTGTGGTTGGATATTAGTTGAGTTGGTTTTTTGACGATGAGGTAGTCAGAACGTTGTATTGGAGACGAGTGTTTATATTGTTCCACTATATAGAAGGAGAAGAAGGCTGAGAAACTGGTTGAGCGTCATGGCAAGGAGGACTTACACAGACGCGTAGGGATGTCAGATCGGAGAGGATCTCAGCTACTTGCATGGCGATTTTGGTTCAGATCACTGGAGAGATGAACGATATTCTGCAACTAATATAATAGACTGTACTGGCAAGACGCCCTGCTCTTCAAATTCAACTCGGATGATTATGTACAGACGCAGTGCAAAGAGTGTAGTTGACATGCAGTGATAGAAGCACCCTTCATGAACTGAGCGGGTGACGTAAGGAACAACGAGAATAAGAAAACATTCTCAGCTCATCACGGTCTCTACTGACAATTCCAGACAAATAATTGTTTACACAAATCCTTTACAATCCTATTAAAGCCAGAAATCACTGCCATTATCGCAATCCCACTTACTTCCCCACACAACCCTCTTATCATCCCCATCATCCGGCTCGACCCTCCGAATCTCGGAGAATCCGAGCCTCTCCGCACGCAGCGCGCGGAGCACCTTTCCGTGCGTCGCATCGGCCGAGCTCCGACTGGCCGATTATATTATTATCCGCCAGGCCTCATTGCCTTTACATTCCATTCCCACCCCCTCAATTATTCCTCTTTCCCCTCCTCCTCAAGCATTGAGAACATCATCATGGCCTCCGCTATCAGAGCCAATTGCAGAAAGGTTATCTGCATTGGCAGAAACTATGCGTATGTCTACATACCACGAGCCTCCGCATGTTGAGAGTGACGATCGATCGATTCAGCTAACACCGCAGTCCGTTATCCGCAGCGACCACATCACAGAGCTGAACAACACCAAGCCCAAGCAGCCCTTTTTCTTCTTGAAGCCCGCTTCCGCTATTCTCTGCCCCGGCGAGGGTCCTGTGCTGCGTCCTCAGGGAACCAACCTGCACTATGAGGTTGAATTGGCGCTGGTGATGGGCAAGACCGTTCGGGATCTGGACCCGAATGATGATAAGGGTGCTTTGGATGCAATTCACAGTCAGTCATGATTTCCTATGCCTTTATTCCTTTTTGCCTATCATAAGGATTGGCAATGGCTAACCATGTATAAAACAATCGCTGTTATAGGCTACCTCCTCGGTATTGACATGACCGCTCGCAACGTCCAAGAAGAAGCGAAGAAGAAGGGCCTCCCCTGGACGATCGCCAAGGGCTTCGATACTTTCCTGCCTGTCTCTCAGGAGATTTCCAAGGCCCGTCTTCCCGACCCTCATAATGCTTTCCTTCGCTTGAGTGTAGGATCGCAAATGCGCCAGGCCGACTCCACTGGTCTGATGCTTTACCGGATCCCCAGACTTCTGGCGGAGATCTCCCGTGTCATGACTCTGGAGAAGGGTGACCTTGTCCTGACTGGTACTCCCAAGGGCGTGGGTCAGGTCAAGTCTGGCGATGTCATGAAGGCGTCCATTGAGTACGATGGCAAGGAGCTCGAGGAGGGTCGCATCGAGGTCGAGGTCAAGGACCGTGAGGGTAGATACCGGTACAGTGAGACCTAAACGGCTGTCTTGAACGAGATATATGTATCAGATAGACAATGTATATACATACCCTGGTTCGGTTCCAATATAGACTATCTGGAATGATAAAAAGTAAGTCGGTCCCTCAACGGCGATACATTTCCATGACAATACGTTCATCCTCTTCATCAGCCGGTACAATTGGTATGAACCTCCTCGCTCTTTGCCTTTTGCGTTGGACATGAGGATCGTTGACCGACTCGAGTCTGACATTTCCATTGGATGTTTTGCTTGTCATGACTGGCTCCGGTACAGACGGTTCCCTTTCCTGAATAACCTTCAGCATGGCGTCCCTCAATGCGTTCCAAGTCCACCCAGCGCGGCTCATCTCTTCCTCGATCAGGGTCTGTATACTCCCATCATCGAGACCTCGCACAACCGCTCTAACAACCTCACCTTCACCCCGTTGTGTCTGCAAACTAAGTTTGATCCCCTCAGCAGCGGCCATGTACTCGGCAAGCGACCTCCCACCCTGCTTCATGACACTATACAAATCCGACCCAGATGCCCCAGTGTGCCCCTCATCCACCAGAGAAGGCGTCCCCCACGTAGTATCAGAAAGCGTCGACGACAGCCCAATTTCCAAACCACCCGCAGGAACAGATCCAACAGGCATCGAATCCGGAACAAGAACATCAGACCCAGCATCCCCAACCTCTCTATCTCCTCCTATCACCACCTTCACCCCATCTTTCCGCCGCTCCAACAACATCTCCCTTACCTCATCCAGCAACCTCACACGAATACCGTCCTCCATTCTATTTTGTTCACAAGCATTTCTCTGACACTTCTTCTCTAACCCATCAATTCTACTCCGTAATTGACAATTCTCGGCCTGGAGATCCTCAACCCGCTCAATGCCACTTTGTAGATTAGTGTCGAATCGCGCTTCGAGGCCCTTCAGGCTATTCTCTAGCCTAGCATTCTCTTCGCGTGCTCGTAGTTCTAGATTCTCGAGACTGCGGGTGAGACTTGCTATTGTATCGTTGGTAGCGGCGAGCTCGGCTCTGAGGCCGTCGATTTGGTTCACGAGCTGGATGTTCTCGCGTCGGAGCTCGTGGGCCCAGAGGAAGGTGGATGGGTGGGGGCTGTTGGAGTATGGTTGTCGGGTTGGGTTGGTCATTGGGATTGAGGAGTTCCTTTTGAGTTGGGATTTCGCGGGGGACTGTGTTTGAGATGAAGGTAATGTCAAGAGCATGTGGAGGGTGGAGGATGGAAGGTGAGGTAGGTATACATAGGCTCAAGTAGTCACCTTACGAAGTAGAGTCTTCAGACCGCGTGTTCCACAAAACCAGGAGTTGAAGATTGACTATTAAAACAAACTAATGGAATGGTATGTACCTCTCTTGTCTATACTAGTGAACACAGGTATACAACCAGTCCGAGCCATAATCATATCTTCGTCCACCCAAAGTGCCTCGAGGAAAAGAAAGCCTGATTGAACTAATCACATTTTTGGCCCGACCTCTTGGTCAAGTATGAACGCAGCATCCTTAACCAACCAGAGAGCGAGCTAGGTACAGAGCAAAGGAAAAAGGGTGTGAAAAAGCGTTTCCGGAAGAGAACCATGAATTACAGCAATAAAATCGCACAAGCGTGTCGCATCTCCATAAGCAATAACAGACAAAGGAAACCATAAACAGCACAAGACAGAAACACGTAGATTAGACGGTTCCCGCTCGCCACTGCTGAAAGAGAAAATGCTGGAGACACAGAAAGCCACTTTTTGAAGGATTCTCCTTTACCAAGAGAAGCGCAACGATGTCAAAACGTCTTTCCCACCGCAGCTCACCCTTGGAGCGTTATTGGCAACTGCATTCGTAATCCGCATCGAGGGACGTTAGGTGATGGTATTAGGGTGTTTAGATGAGGTCTGGAACCAAAAATCAGTATGGAAGATACGATAATCAGAGTGTGGGTGAAGGCTAGCTTACCAGCAACGTTCATGGGCATCTCCTCGATCTGGGTGCTGTAGAACTGCTCAATCTCACGCATCATGCGGACATCGTCAGCGGTGACGAAGTTGATGGCAACACCCTTACGACCGAAACGACCACCACGACCGATACGGTGGATGTAGTTCTCACGGTTGGCGGGAAGGTCGTAGTTGATGACCAGGGAGACCTGCTGGACATCGATACCACGGGCCAGAAGGTCAGTGGCGATCAGGACACGGGAAGATCCGGAACGGAACTCCTTCATGATAACATCACGCTGGCCCTGCTCCATGTCACCGTGCATGGCAGAGACGGTGAAGTCACGGGCAGTGAGCTTGTCAGTGAGCCAGTCGACCTTGCGGCGGGTGTTACAGAAGATGACGGCCTGGGTAATGGTGACGGTCTCGTAGAGATCGGAGAGGGTGTCGAGCTTCCACTCCTCCTTCTCAACAGCAATGTAGAACTGCTTGATACCCTCAAGGGTAAGCTCCTGCTTCTTGACCAGGATACGGATGGGGTCACGCATGAACTTGGTGGTGACCTCAAGGACATCCTGGGGCATGGTAGCGGACAGCAGGGTGACCTGGGTAGACTGGGGGAGGAGCTGGAAGATGTCGTAGATTTGCTCGGTGAAACCACGCTAATCACATTTATTAGCAAAGGCACGTCTTCCCTGGGCCCAGATCTGGTATGGACTTACAGAAAGCATCTCATCAGCCTCGTCGAGGATGAAGAGCTTCATCTGGTCGGTCTTGAGGACACGGCGCTCAATCATATCGTGGATACGACCGGGGGTACCGACAACGACCTGGGGGCCGGCGCGGAGGGCGTTCATGTCGTCACGGACGTTGGTACCACCAATGCAGGCGTGGCACTCAATGTTCATGAAGTCACCAATGGCAACAACGACCTTCTGGATCTGCTGAGCCAACTCACGGGTGGGAGCGACAATCAGAGCCTGGCAAGCCTTGAGCTCCTGGTCAATCTTCTGGAGAGCGGAGATGGAGAAAGTGGCAGTCTTTCCGGTACCAGACTGAGCCTGAGCAATGACATCGTGGCCTGGGATGCTCTAGTTAGCATCATAGATTATAGGCGATCGCGCGGGGGGGAGACGTACCGGCAATGATGGGCTTGATGGCACGCTGCTGGATAGCGGAGGGACGCTCAAAACCGTAGGCGTAGACACCTGGACGTCGTCAGAACATGTTGGCACAGACCCCACCAGGGCGATGATAAAATTTGTATCACATACCGCGAAGCAGCTCGGGCTTCAGGTCCATGGAGTCGAAAGAGTCGGTAACCTCATCGTAGTTAGTCTCGATCTGTCCTATTGAGGTGAAGTTTCTGGTCAGCTTGTTTCTTTTGAAAGATGTTCCGATGATGGAATGTGGCGGTTATCTCTCTTTCCTCTGCTGACTTGGGAGCGAGCCCCAATCTCCAGCAAAGTGATCGATAAAAACCACAAACTCGCTTTTGTAGGAAAAGAAAAAAAAAAGCATAAAGCAAAAGATGTTTTAGTAGCACATACCCTCGGGGATCTCCTCCAAGCCCTTGTCGTTAGAAGCCATGATTGCGGTGTTGTTGAGAAAAGATCACAGGCGAGATGCTGTGATCGAAGACGGTGGGGTTTTGGGAGTAAAACTGGAAAAGGCTTGTTAGCGATAGGCGAGGATGGTGGGGGAGGGCGCAATGCGCAGAGAAACACTGGGAAGAGAGCAACGAACCTGGCAGCACAACTCTCGGGGATGAGAGATATCACAAAGACTTCAAAAGTCGTAGGGGTGGGAAGAGAAAAGAAGTTCAAGTTGGATCACCGAAGATGGTGTGGGAAAATGGGGGAGCAGAAGCGGCGGGACGAGCACTGCGAACTTTTTTTTTTTTCCCTTCTTCCCTTTTCTTTCCCTGCGTCTGCCATTTTTTCCATTTGTCGCGGTGAAATTTTTGATTTTTAGCGCCAATTTAGCTTAACCGATACGCACCGCCTTCTCCATCGGGCAACCTACCCACGTACTTGCCTTGTGGGAATTTCGCCATGATTTCCTTATTCGCTGGCTGAACTACGGAGGGAAATATTTGGTAATACTTTCGATGCCTAGGAAGCATGTGTTTTACTGCGTAGGACGTATTATTGCCGCTTCGAAAGTCCACAGGCGTGTTGTTTATCGGTGGGTTGGGCATAAGACCCCCGGTATCTTCCCTGCCTGACAGCCCTGGCCGTTGGTTGTGTGGGCGGTTTTCTTACTAGTCTGTACCACCACCGCCGCCCGGTCTGTGACCGGTCTAGTCGTTCCCCACCGAATTGGGAAAGTTCCTAGAATTCAATGCCCGTCCCTTCCTTTTTCTTCAAATAATAATCATGAAAATGCCGGATATCAATTCGTTGGACAGTGCTCGTCCTCTCGGCGGTGCGGTGGCTGCTCATAGCTACTCGTCGCATCCGGAATCTAATCTTGAGGACCTGTCTGGCCATGAAGAAATTCCTGGCCATCCTCTGGGCGTGAAACCCAGTGGCAATGCCTTGCTCGCCGCAGAGAACCTGCGCCATGCAATTGGGACCTTTAATATCCTACCGGATGAGTCGATATTGATGTTGCTGGAATACCTCGACGGGCCCAGTTTGTTGAATATTGGACAGTCATGCAAGGCATTTTATGCTTTTACCAGAGCCGAGGATCTCTGGAAAGCTCTTTTTATCGGGTGAGATATAGATCTATTGTTCTTACATTATTGTTATTGTCTGCATCTGCTTGCGAGAGTACTGCTCTTCTATTTCTGTTGCATTGTGGGACATGGCAATTTGCTCTCATCACATTTATAGATTTACAACTAGACGGCCTGGGGCATTGTACTAACGTTTCAGTTAGGTCTCCTCCCGCTTCGTTCTCATGGAAAGGAACATGGCGTTCAACTTATCTTAACATTCCTCCATCGGAAGAGTGCATCCTGGACTGCTCGAATCTATTCTCGGATGTCCTGCACCGACCCTTTCACTGCGCCCACATATCTCTAGATCCCTACATCAAGAATATCCCTGCCCGCAACCAAATTGCTCGTCTCCCCGATCTCTCTTTCGAGGAGTTCAATGAAAAATGGAGCGATACGCCCTTCATCTTGACTGAGCCGGTGAAACAATGGCCAGCGTACAAGAATTGGTCCGTAAACATGCTACTAGATCACTACGGCGAGGTTGTCTTCCGTGCAGAGGCAGTGGATTGGCCTTTCCATACTTATGTCGATTACATGCACAACAACTCCGATGAGAGTCCTCTTTACCTGTTCGACCGGGCCTTTGTCTCGAAGATGGGCCTTAAGGTCGGTCAACCGGACCAGGAGCCTGAAGCCACTTACTGGCCTCCCGGTTGCTTTGGAGAAGACTTCTTCTCCGTGCTGGGCAACGATCGCCCTGACAGGCAGTGGCTGATCATTGGACCCGAGCGGTCTGGAAGTACATTTCACAAGGACCCGAACGCTACCAGTGCCTGGAACGCGGTTGTCCGTGGCTCGAAGTACTGGATCATGTTCCCGTCGTCTTCGAAGCTCCCGCCGCCTCCGGGTGTCTATGTGTCAGACGATCAGAGTGAAGTGACTTCCCCTCTTAGCATTGCTGAGTGGCTTTTTGGCTTCCACGCAGAGGCACGACGCACTCCAGGCTGTATTGAGGGGATCTGTCACGAGGGGGAGATTCTCCACGTTCCTTCGGGATGGTGGCACTTGGTCGTCAACATCGAGCCGGCTATTGCCATTACTCAGAACTTCATACCCCGTGCCCATCTGAGCGCTGCGCTGGACTTCTTGTCTAACAAGGCCGACCAGATTTCAGGTTTCAGGAAGGACGTAAACAATCCTTACGAACGGTTTGTGGCGCAGATGCAGAAATCGCACCCTGAACTCTTGGAACAGGCGCAGGCAGAGCTGCAGAAGAAGAACGAGGGGAAGAAACGGAAATGGGACGAAATTGTGCACGGAAACCCTGAGCAAGACGGAGGGGAGGCCGCCGAAGGAGGCGGTTTCAGCTTTGGGTTTGGAGATGACAGCGATGTTGAAGTCCCCTAAATTGCAGTCTTTGCTACTTGCAAGTGAACGCATAAATGTTCATTGGACGAGTATGCAACTGCTGCTGTTTACAAACGACAAGACGACTACAGCTATCCAACGAAGCTATTACTGAGAATATGCCGAGTTTCCGCCAGTACTCCTGGCAAGCCTTCGTGCTTGCGGCCCACTAATGACAAGCAACTGTTTTGCTGGCAGATGTATTGTCTCCAAACGCCAAATATCCCACAAAGGCACCAACAGCAACTGCGAGCATGACAAATCCGTTGTACGTCATGAAGAGCAGCCTGAACAGTTTAGAACTCGTCCAACTCGAAGAGGAGGCCAATAGTGAGAGATTAGAAGACTTACATGATGAAAAAGCTATAGAAGACCTGCACAGCATACAATGCCGCCATGGTGATCTTGCCTCGTTGCTCGACGGTCCTTCGGCTATCCCTGCCTACAACTAGGGGTGAGCCGGTATTCGGGGCAGGCAGCGTCTGGCTAGAAGGGACATTGGCCGTGGCAGAATCGTCGTGGACCTCGCTGCCTTCACGGTGTCAGGTGCTTCATCTCAGCAAAGGTTGGGCCAAACCAATAACCAGCGCTCGAAGATGAGGAAGAAACCATGACTCCAATATCCCCGCCATGCATTATACAGGAATCATAATAGGAACCGAAATGTACGTACCTCCTACAGCAACCGTAGTATATGCACTCAGCCTTCTAGCATGAGCTGCTTCGAACCGCCTTGTGAGCTGTCGAATTCCCTCGTAGCCGGCTGTCAAAAGGACGATGACAATAAGCGAACCCAGAAGGGACCAGGTGCTGGTAATGCGCCATTGGGGAAAGACGATGCAGAGGTTCTTCGTAGACCAGGTGAACAGCATCTAGCAAGCGCAGTTAGCCAGACCGATAAACAACGAGCTAGGAGGATAGTGCGTTATAACAAGTTATGGTGAGCTCCACTTCACGCACTGCTTGCACTTGAAACAAGATATATTAGCAACGAAGGCACCCACATTCATGCTGCACTGTCCGTCACCCATATCCATATCGCCATGGTCATGACCATGGTCCATGTCCATCATACCATGCATGGAGTGATCCATCTCGAAGTGCTGTAGCGAGTCCAATAAGGTAGATAGTCGTTGATGAAGCTAAGTATAGTATATGTCGCGAGCTTCAGAGTAGCATATATCACAAGCCGCTATCCAGATAAAGAAGCTAACAGACCAGATCGGTGAGCCAGAGAAGGAAAGAGAGCAAGGGGTTCCGCTAAGATGGGGAGATGCAGCTCCCAGGCGTACGTAAGTTGACGGAGCGATAATGTGACGCGGATGCAAACCAGCCAAACAGCAACGATAAGATCTGGCGGCGATCATCATCCAATCCATTCACTTCCACTTCTCTTCCGCTTCTAGATAGATCGCGACAACCACCTCCACCACTGACTGCAGCTCCCTCAATGCGCGCTCGCATCTAACCCAAACAAACCTCCCATCTCAATTTCCACATAGCCTACACTTCCTCGCGACCGCAAGTCGTCGCCCACCACCACAATGGCCGAACCCGCCGCTGCAACCCCGGCCGCATCAACCGCCCCAGCACCAGCAACAACCTCCACCAGCACAGCAGGCCCAACTTCCACCACGACCACCAACTCCACAGCACCCAATCCCACGCCAAACAACAGCAATGCCAACAACAACTCCAACAACA